CGCGTGTGGCGCAGTGGTCGGAGGCGCTCTGCTACACACACGTGGAATCGATCCCTGCGCCCATGGCCCACCAAGCCTTCTATGCCTCCGGGGTCGGTAATATGGTACCAGATTCGTCTGGGAGGATAGCAACACTGGCTCGATACATCGGTAGGGCATCGCGAGTCATTGTAAAGGCCGGATGTACATTCATTCACCTCCAAATGATGCCTAATGAAGTCGAATGCATGGCGCATCTCTCAGGGATCGATCAACGGTGAGAGCTTCATCCTTTTATTCTTTCAATCGACTATGGTTTGGAGCAGTGGTAAAAGTTAAGGTGCAAAGAAAGTTAAACTTGAATCTAAGCACCAAACCGGACCCTCATGTTGAGATATTAAAACGTCTGGTAGGAAAATCTTCCATGCAAAGCTAATGGCAATTGCTACTTTTACAACTGAAAAGTCGTTGACTAAGGAGAACATGGAAAACTGTCTTGTGTCTGTTCAGAATTCTTTCAAAGGATAGTTGGGACATTCAGAAATGGACGACCAGATGTGGGAACTCTACTTTACAGAGAAATAAAGCAAAACAAATCAGGCCGCTCTTCTATTAGTTCTTTTCCTCCATCTTCTGGAAGCTAGCCGATCCGCTGAATGAGAGCCTGTAGCTAGTCGTCGATGGATAGAAAGCCCTAAACTAAATTACAAAAACGGCATATTATATATGGGACTACTGAAAAGAAACAATAATTAGTTAAAATAGCACCGTTAAAGCAGAAAAAAAACGGCTGAAAGGAGAGCATAGAAACAGCCTCGGTTAGTGCGGTGGATAGTTTGTGAGACCCGGAAACGGTAATCGTCGGTTCGAAGCCCAGCTGGAACTCCCAGTTTTGCTCATACCTCGGTATCCTTGTGGTTGTGTTTCACATAACAACGTGCCTTAGAAAACGTGTAGTTAGTAATTATAAGTTGAAAACAGAAACTAGTATTTTTAACAAACTTAGCGTCATTTAACCTCGACGTTAATATTCAATACCTTCTTGGGTTATTAAGCTAACACGATGTTGATGAAAAGGTTAACGGTCGAAACGCATGCCGGATAAAGCTTTTCTTCAACCTCGTGAAGTGGCGCGTATGGCGCCCTGCAACACACATGGGATCGGTCCCAGGCGGGTGGCCCATCAAGCCTTCCATCCCTCCGGAGTCGGCAAATTAGTACCTGACTTGTCAGGGACGATAGCAGCACTGGTTAGATACATCAATAGGCCATCGAGAGTTATTGTAAAAGTCATACATGCATTCAGTCACCTTCGAACGATGCTTAATAATGTCCAATGCATGACGCACCACTCAGGAATTGATGAAGCCGAGAGATTTACCCTTTATCCTTTGTTTATCAAATTCGTGCTAGCTTAATAATCTAAGAAGGTACAGAAATTAGTAAAGGAGGTAAAGGATTGCTCATGGCTTGATAGAAAACTACCTGAGAAAAGTGCGAAACAAAGGACCCCCATGGTGTGGTGATGAACGAATTAACCCCCGGAAAGGGTAATAACGTGTTCGATTGCCACCGCACACATCTGCGGTCTAGAGTTATATCTTAGCATTACTGCGGTTACAGAATTTATTTTTTTTTCTCTTGAGCAGACACGAACTTATCAATAATAAGATTTATTCGGTAACGCCTGACGTTTCGGCCGTTAAGGAAAAGAATTGTAAGTATGGGCAGTTTCTGTAATCAGAATCAGTAGAAAATGTCAACGACAATCTTCAACATGTTGGCAACAATAATCTGCTCAATTTTGTATTCTAAAATTCAACCAATAATAGGTAAGTAAAGAAGCAAATATGGTGCAAACGTCGTTCAATGATTCCACGTACCAATCGATGCACACGGTCTCTAGTTCGATTCCGCGAGCCAATCAAATCCTCCACCCCTTAGCAGAGTGGTAGCAGACTTCTTGTTAATAGCTTTATAGCAGAGAAGATAGAACAGCTACTTAGTATAACGGCAGGGCTAGGAGGGAACATCTACCACATCACAGCGTCGGTCGCTGCCTCCGTACTACGAACAGTAGATAAGAGCACCATAAAAGTAAATATATAAAAACTGTATGCCTGTGAGACATATACAATTCATATTTCTTCAGACTGCTCAGCTCACACTTAGCACAAAGTATTATTGGGCTATCATATCAACGTATTTCGTCTTCTTCTTCTGAGGCTATGAATCCAGTCGATTGTCCATGGCGGTTCGTGCTCACAATACGGGTTTTCGTAGTCGCATCAAGACGAATCTTCCGGAGTGGTGTGTACCGTTCGAATCAACTAGGCACAATTGAAGCACAATTCGTATTGTTACATTTATTCATCTACGATTGCGATGGAAAGGAACGAATGGCATATGTGCTGGTGTCCACACAGCTCGTGAAGACGGACCGTCCAAATATCCAAGTATCCAAGTACGTTCCATCATCACATGTATCATCTGCCGTCTCGCTGATCGTTGAGTGACTCGATCGGGCACAAGTAAATCATCCATTTCTCCCTGTCGCGTGCAAGAGTAGCCCATTGCGTTCTGCTCTCTCTAGAGACTCGTTGAGCATCATATTTTTCTTCTAGACTTTCGTGAAAAACTCTGACCAACAGGTCGGTGGTGCTCCTGCAGTGCGTTTGGCATTTCAAGGAATCCAGTCACTAACGGCTCTTGTTCATCGGTTGCCGTTCATACGCATTACGTGTCGAGCCCACATTATCTTCAAAACCTTGGTTTGTAGAACAATATTTTCGTTTTTTGTCGTTGATGTAGATCGGAGCTTCGGATCCTTTGCCTCACTTGTGTGATACGGGAGATTCCTAACATCGTAATTTCGACTGCACGTTCAATAATGCTGAGTGATCTTAAATCCCATTTACGTAACGACTAGGTTTCTGATGCATACGTTAAGGCGGGGAGAATCGTGAAGTAGAAAAGGTAAGCATGGAGTAGGGTATTGTTTTTTCTCCTCATTACACCTTCGATGATTTTGAAAGCTCTCCAAGCCGCTCGCTTCCTCCTGCTCAACGTTGGAACACAGTCGTTCATCACGTTGAGCTCCCGACCGAGATAAACGATAGATAGACAGCCATCCATATGGTGCACGGTCCATATTGTTAGTGTCTTAGCTCGGCAATGAAGGAACAAGCAGAAGCTAATCAGTAAGTAAAATCTCAATAGAAGAGAGCTAACTGCAAAGCAGAGATATGATTATTAATGGGATTGGAAACGACGTGTGGAAGACGAGCGATTGAAGGACGACAAAGCGACGAAAACTACATGGCTATGAAAGACGAGTTTATAAATGCGATGTTTTCCTTCTCAGCAATCGTGAGGTTGCTATATAGCATACATTTGCCTCAGTACAAAAAGAACACGTACAACGCAACGGTAGCTGACTTCTTCAGAGCCTAGAAAAGCACACTGATACGTAATTTACTAGGTCAAACGCTTCAACAGCACGGAGACTTGGGAATCTGAACGATAATTGACGTTGATCTGACGATAATGGATAAAAGGTAACTTTGTATGGCACAAAGCAGCTCGGTACTTAACAATATATGATTCTGACATCTTTCATAGCATTAAACTCGTTTTAACAACCTTCGTCTGAAACTAACAGGTCGCCAATTTAGTGCAAAAGAAAAAAAAACACTGGTGAAATAACTCTACTCAGTGCTGAGTTCTAGTGTACCTCTTCGGATATCTAGATGGCTCGTCGTCACTCCTAGTGCAGGCTTCCGTAAAATTTCCATTCGTTTCCCTTTTGAAGATGCGTGTGGCGCAGTGGTTGGAAGCGCCACTGCGACACACACGTGGAATCGATCTACAGGCCCCAGGCTCACCAAGCCTTGTTTCCCTCCGGAGTCGGCAAATTGGTTGCAGACTTGTCTGGGAGGATAGCAGCACTGGATTGATACATCACTATGAGTTAAAGTATAGACCAGATATTCATTCAGCCACCTCTAACGATGCTTAATGATGTCGAATGCACGGCGCATCCCTCAGGAATTGATGAACGCCGATAGCTTTATCCTTTGTCCTTTGTCCTTTATCCTATTAAAGCCATACTATATTCGTTATTTCAATTATCTTCCCTACGGTTTACCGCCTCATCGGTGATGGGAAGTGTTCCTAGGTGTCGGACTGCGATGTACAGCGGGGTGATTCATCTCCCCCCATCTGAGTATAGTCCCCTAAGCTGAGGAGTCCGGCGTTTCCAACAGGAATCCCAGCTAAGAGTAAACGAATACCAAGATCCACCACCACCTTGGTATCAAATTAGTTGCATGGTGGCAAATCTCCCTCTGATCGAGAAGGGCTGTGACTGCTTGTGGTAGCTGCTGTGTGGGCTGCTTGTGACAACCAGCGGCAGACTTTGGCCAGGCTGACCTCGGGATTCCAGAGAACCACAACGGGTTAACCAGCAAATCTCCGAAGAATGGAAATTATGCTGGGGCCTACAACTAGTGAGGACGGGCCATTCAAATATCAAGTAAGTATAAACTTAAAGTCTTGTCTTTAAGTGCAAAGTTTTATTTATTTTGTTAAAAGTTGAACGTATGATTTTTCGCACATAAGCGCGCACAAAACCTTCGACGTTGACCAGTTTCTTAGCGGCGGGATCGTGCATTCAACTCAATTCTTATCAATGATAGAGGCGCTTGAATGCATATTCGACTTTTACAATAACTTGAAGAGACCTACCTGTGTACCCAATTAATGTTTCTAGTCTTCATTGATAAGTCTGTTACTGATATGCCGACACGTGAGGGGTAATGTGTTTGGTTTGCCAGTTCATGGAATCGAGCCGAAGAGCCACAGCGTGTATTGCAGGACATCACTAGCAACTACACCACATATGCCTTCTTTTTACATTAATTTAATGCTTCATGGTCGCCATTTTATTTGCTGTATGAGTATTTCAGTTCGAAAAGGACATCCATACCATGCAGACGCCACTAGCTTTTCATATCTTATCAATGCCTGAGCTGAATGCCTTGCCTTGTTCCGAGGTATTGATGGTGCTCGTCGTTCTGATTGCATTTGTATTCGTAGCCGTCCCGTCAGTAAAATGCTTGACTTTCTGCGATCAACCAGATTCCTCAGCACGGTTGAGAGTCATCGGAGGCACAAAAGCCACCAAAAGGTTCGTTCTGTATTGAGAAGTGAGATACTGATCGACTGGAGTATGTTAGTATTTTCGGCTAGCTACAACAAGGTATTGATTTGCGTGCAAATAAGTTGTTACCATTGCTTGTGTTGTTCTCAATGATTCGTTGATCTTTGTGCTTTTATACGAAATACAACAACACCGATGCTGAGATATTTGCAAAACCCGGTCCTGTGGCCGGATTCGAACCCAATATTACCCTTTGCAGGGCCTCACGTACTACCTACTAAAGCACTGAGGCTTTTCCTTTCTTTTTTCTCAGCCCGTTTTTTATCCTAACGGTGCCATCAGTAATCACATATTTAATTTTCTTGTCAAAGAATGAAGAAAAAGGTTAAACAAAGCAAACAACAGGGTTGGGTAGAAGAAATACAAGTTCATTTGAAACTAGAAAAAATGAGACAGTATACTGGACCAAATCTGTATTTGTGATAAATAAATGTGACATCTTTTATCGTTCTAGGCAAATAATATTACTTCACCGCAAAAAGCCTTCGTTTTGTTGATGTTTATTGCTGATGTGAAGGCGCTATTTCATTGTTCATATATACGGTTTCTTCTTGAAATAAATAGAAGTTTCTCATCCATTTCTTTTTATTATAAAGCCTCCCAACGGTTTACGGCCTCATCGTGGCTGGAAGGTCTTCCTGTGTGTCGGGCTGCGTTGTACAGCGAGGTGATTCGTGCCTCTGACAAGGTAAGCTGAAAATGAGTCCGGCTTTTCAATCAGGGAGCGTAGCTAGAAGTAAACCAACATCAGGATCGACCACCGTCCTGGTGTCGAACTAATCGCATAGCGGTAAATCTTGTTCTGATCCACAAGGGCTGCAACTGACTGCCTGTGGTGATGACGGCAGGGCAGACTTTGGCTCGGCTGACCTCGGGACTTTAGGGAAATACAATGGTTAAAACAGTAGAACTCCGAAAATTGGAGATTATGCTGGGGTCCGCACAACCAGTGAGGAAGGGCCGCTCACGTATCCAAGTATCCAATTAGAAAACCTTTCGACAATTCGCTTGTTAGTTGTAACCAAGTGAAATTGTTTATAAATAAAAACAAAATTAAACGGTTCTCCAGCTGTTTGATAGCGATTTCTGAACACTTCAGGCCGTTCTCTATGTTCTTCTGTAGTCTTTAGTAAATAAAAGGAAAGAAAGTTGAGGAATATTTGGCATAAACAGCAACTAAATATAGTTCTGTAGTAAATATGCTACTTGCTCTTCTCGATTAAGAAAAGAAACCTCACGTAATTTTTGTCGAAGATGTTCAGATCTCAAAATTGAGTCATGAGACAAAAAAGGGATTGGAGATAAACCAGTACTCTCTTCCTTTACTTTATTACTTGTTAGAAATACTTCCTTCTCACGTCCGTCTTCTCCAAACATTGTTTTTTAATGCTTACTTTTCTATTAAGTGCCTACTAAAAATTCCACGGCAGGGTACTACGCGAAATCAACGACAACGATGCTTAGATATTCGCAAAACTTGGACCCCGGTCCAAATTGAACCACGATTTCGCTTTCCAGGGGCGCGCGAATTACGCACTGCGCCACGTAGGCCGGGGTCCCAATTTTGCGAATATCTCAGCATCGTTGTGGTTGATTCTTTTTCAAATAATGATTCTGAGGTAAGAAAATATTCAAATATTATTCTTTTATTATAAACAGCTAATATTCGTACGGATATTTAGCTGTACTCAGAATAGCTTAGAAGCGTTTTGAATTTCCCAGATTGAAGAACAAATCCTGAAATGCACAGCTTTTCAGTGAATTTCCTTGGCAAGCCGCTTTTGTGTCGTACGACGATGCTAGCGCTGGATTGATGTGTGGCGCAACGGTGATCGACGAATACTGGATCATGACGGCTGCGCATTGTATTTTGTAAATCCGTTTATTAAATGCTGTTATCTACTTTAACTTTATTCCTTGTTTACTTAATGGGGGGAATTTTAAAACTAAACATCGAAACAGTCGGAGACGGCGCAATGTGACAAGACAAGCGTCGTGCATAATATACGTATTGATTGCTCGTTGATGACGTCATATATCATATGTTTCAGAACAGCGCGTCCATTTGCTGGTCTTTACGACCTTTATGTCGTTTAATCTTCTTTTGACTTTGATATGCTTATTGTATGACTAATGATCGAAAGGGGCGCGTGTGGCCCAGTGGTCGGAGGCGCCCTGCGATACACACGGGATCGATTCTTGCTACCTTAGCCCATCAAGCCTTCAATTCCTCTGGGCTCGGCAAATGGGTACCAGACTTGTCTGGAAAGATAACAGCGCTGGCTCGATACAGTGGTAAACCACCGCGAATCATTGTAAAGGTCAGGTATCCATTCAATCAGCTCCAACGATGCTTAATGACGTCGAATGCATGACGCATCTCTAAGGGAATGATCAACGCTAAGAGCTTTATCCTTTCATCAGTGATCGAAGCCCATCAATGAGTTATTGCGGTACGGACCTTTGTTGATGAATGTCGAGCTACGATCCAAAAGAAATGGCTCATTCACAAGGTGAATCATCACCATCACTGTTGGAAGGCAGTGCAGCAAAGACGAGTAACACAACACCAGCAGTCACCGCCGCAGTCGTTTCGGAAGTAGGCTAATCATCATGAGACGAATTTCGAGCGGAATATTGCTGCTGATTCGAGCACTGTGATACTTTCTCATCAACAAAATGACGGTTATGTGGAATTTGTGCTAAGGACCACACTAGCATGATTGCTACTAGATTTCAAGAAAAAAATATGTGACATTTGATCACCATTCCTTTTAGATGATAATGAGGGTAGAATACCATAGCAGGATGTTTGTATGAACATAAAAACCTCCATGGAACGCTATCATAGCATAAAGAAACTACTGAAAGAAGAATTAGGACCTGGAACATGGGGCAACCCACCATAATGTCCTCGAATTTGGCTTGACTTGCAGAGACCTACCAGTGTATAGAGCCAATGTATTAATACTCCTAGACAACTCAGCAACCAATTTGTCGAATCCGAAGAAATAGTAGACTTGGTTCACACTGGAGGACTCAAACCAATTTACATTCGTATATATATATATATATATATATATGTATACATTTGTATATATGTATGCCTATATTGCTGATATATATATATACATACATATATGTTTTCAGGAGCAAAACTAGAAAGTCGTATATTCTGACTGGTCTCCAAACAATCAGAAATCCACAGCATACCGCATATACAAAACGAATTGTTGTGCACCCTCAATATGACGCTAGCAGAATCGCTAACGATATTGCCCTTGTTCAGGTGGATTACATTTCTCCGAATGGAATAGAACAAATGTCACATGTCCTCCTTTTGTTTAAAAGTCAGTCAATCTTGTATATAACAACACATTCTTATCTTATTTTCAAACTAAAAAATTCATCGAACAAACCTAACTTTTATTTTCTGGGGTTTTGTCTTCGCCACCGTATTCTACTTCGTAGAGATGTCGATTTTTAACCACTTATACATTCCTGCAGGGGATTTTCTTGGAATAAGACCTTTACCGCCTCATTGTGGCTGGGAGGTGTTCTTAGGTGTCGCGCTACGATGTACAGCGGGGGATTCGTGCTCTCGGTACAGTCCTACAAGCTGAGGAGTCCGGCGTTTCCATAAGGTAGCATAGCTAAGAGCAAACCAATACCAGGATCCACCACCATCCTGGTATGAAACTAGTGGCAAGGTGACAAATCTCCCTCTGATCCACAAAGGTTGGCGACTGGCTGTGGTGGTCAGACCTGGCGCAGACTTTGGGCCGGCTGACCTCGGGACTCCAGAGGACGACAATGGCTAGACCAGCAAAACTTCGAAAGAGCGGAAATTATGCTGGGGCCTGCACAACCAATGAAGACGGGTCATCCAAGTACCATGTAAGTAGGATACTTCTATAAAATTTATCGGAAAATGAAATTTCGTGAAAATTCTATGGGAAAACTCGTCTTCAGTCGAAGTTTGGTTGCAGATATTTAATACCTAAAAGAAATGGATTTAAAAAAAAGGCTAATATACTTTCTGCATTCGGTTTAAGTATTTTTAGAGCAAGCGTTCTTTGTTCAACTCAGGCATCAACAGTATATGTTTGACTAGAAACGATTCGTCGTTGTTCACTTCGGCTAAGAAAGGCTTAGTTACTGGATTTGGGCTACACATAGGTACGTTATTCTCCAGAAGATATAGTAATTTCTTATCAAATTATATTCATTTATCGAAAAATTTGCATTCGTTTCGACCAAAATGAAGCGAACTTTTGGCTTATTTGGCCTAGAGGTAAAATAATAGAACGCCAAAAGAAAAAAGTATGGTGTATGGGCGCAATTTCACACCAAAAGTAAAAATCCCTTTTCTATTAAAGAAATTAGAAAATCTCCGTTGAAAGTGGGATCAGGGTTGAAGAGAACAAAATTACTGCACCGGATTACTCTATCTACTTTTCGGATTAGCTTTGTTTTCTCCCCCTCTCCCTTTCTCTCTTTCTCTCTTTCTCTCCCTTCGTCTCTGTTCCTCCCTTGTCGTCTCTTCCTCCCTTTTTCTCTCATTCTCACCCTCATTCCAACATGGTTCTCTCTCCATCTTTCTTCGTTTGAGTCTCTTCCCTTTTATGGAGAAAAAAACACTAATTTGAAAGAATTGGCTACTATCATGTGAAAGAGAAAACTATGGGCAATAATTTTCCTCGGATGATCTCATACTGAAAGAGTGGTGAGGATTATAGCAATTCTAGTATTTCTCGCTGTATTGAACTAAATTTTAGAATCAACATGTGTTTATATTGTTGAGCTTACACGAAGTTAATAGAGATGTTTATTCGGCTAACTTCCCGACGTCTTCGTCTTCATGCCGACGATCCTTGTCGATGGTCCACAGTTGTTCCTCTTCTTTATGTAGCGTCTTCTTCTCTCATAGAACCGGAACTTTCTCAACTGAGCATCTCGAATGAGCCATACTCATCCGGTGATGCTCTTTTATACAAGGCGGTTATTGTTGATATGACTGTCCGTTGTTAATAATTTGTTTTTCAACGAATCTACCCTGCAGTAGTCGGTATTTTGTTAGCCAGCATTTGGCGAATATATCGATGGCTCTGATGAAGACGAAGACGTCGAAACGTTAGCCGAATAAACATCTTTGTCAACATCGTGGTAAGCTCGACAATATAGACACATATTGGTTATTATAGTAGCGAGGTTGAGTGACAGACGGCTTCACAATTAAATTTTATAACATCTCTAAATATTGTAGAATCTGCAACTAGCTTATATTTATTAAGGTACGATACTATAATTCTGTCTACGTTGCTCAATAGTATAAAAAAGTAGGATGAACAGTGGAAATATTTTTTTTCAATAATCTCACAACCCTGATACCATTTCAGTGAACAGATCGCTGTTCGGCATCCGTATGAATATAAGTAACGTCGTCCTGAAGACGACCGTTCCAATCATTCCTCTTGGACAGTGTCAGTGAGTCCAAACTAGTTATTTTTCAGTGAAACACAATTTGGCGACCATGAATTCTTAGTAGAAATAATATGAACTTCGTGATCTCATAGCTAAAATCATATTATCACCCTCAAGAATCAATGAGCATACTTTTAAGGCATCAATGGTGGATATTATCAGGTGGCACAGTAACAATCTCCAATAAGCAGATTTGTGCTGGTTCGAAATTACATGGAACAGCACCGGTAACAAAATTATTCTTATCACAGCCAATCTTCGTTTTAGGGAAGATCTCCAGGTGTTTTTTAAGGGTGACAGTGGCGGTCCGCTTCTAGTTCATGATGCCGCCGGTCGATTGGTACAAGTAGGAATCACATCATTTGGTGCCGGAGGAGGAGAAGGACTCTTAGATCAAGGCAATTATCCAGGTTTGTTTTTCCAAATACTTTGAAAGCATTTTAAAAGCATTTCCAGATCTTATAGAAGAATAGACCTTAGAGAGTAAAAGTTTCCACTTCATCTGCAACATATATGACGCCTAATTTCTCGTCGCCGACACATGGAACGACGCTCAATATTTACTGGCTACGGGCGGGTTGGCTTTCCCAAAATAGACGATAGTTTCTCAGTAACTAGTGAACTTGGAGAAACTGATCTCGGGGACTCCAGGGAAACATCATGGCTAAACCAGCAAAATTCCGAGAAGTGGAGATTATGCTGTTGCCTGCGCAACCAGTGAAGACGGGCCCTTCAAGTATCAAATATCAAGAGGACTTGGGATTGTGAACATGAATGAATTATAAAGATTTTTCTCTGTCGCTCTATAAGTATGAATGATAGGTATGCCATTATTTCCTACCTACGGTCCATCATGCAAACAGGTTGCTGTCAGCATTTGGAAATGTTTCGCAAGTTGTGCTATCTTTATTCTGATATTTTTCTATACCCGCACATCTCATTAGATAACTATAATTCGTCGTAACGATGAAGACTGAAATAACGTGCAATTGCCAGTCAGATTACCGACCAATAAACTCATTTTTAGGAATCACAATGTTTAACTGCCTGCTCTTTTTTTATTATGGCAGGGTATTGTGCGTAATACAACCACAGTGATGGTGAGGTAGGAGCAAAGCTTAGAACCTCAGATGAGCCCTAACCCCGCAACTACGTTTTCCGCGGCTCCACTGCTGTGTTATCCACTACACCACCCATGTACTCTTTCTTTGTCTTTCTCCCAGCCAATTTCTTACTCTAGCGATGCTGGCGCCAATCAACCGTCAACGGGAGCGATTCGGATGGCGATGGCATGGAGAGCAAAATCGTCAGTGAGCCCCGGACAGAGTAAGCATGCGTTCGAAGCTCAGCTGGGGTTCCGAATTTTGCTCGTGTCGCAGCACTATTTGTTGCAGTTTCCACCAGTTTTTCAAACCAATTTTTTGTAATCTCCAAGTGCAGGACAGAGGAATTTCTGGCCGATGCTTCCTAGGACATCTCGTTTGGACAAGTTACTGACTGATTACAAAAAATATACGAAAACAGTTCTTTGCACCAAAATAAATCATCACGAACGAAATGACCTCTATAGTGGTCAAACCAGCCGGAATGTCCCAAGTGTTACAAGTGAAATTTTTAAAGATGACATCATCGCAACTGGAATCCTACAACCAAGAAAAAAATGCTTTTAAAAATGAATCCTTAGCTGATCTAAACCATGTGTGCCATTGGATACCACTAAAATAGTGCCGTTATGATTTCATGCCAGGCTTTTTTGAAATTCATCTGTAAGTTCGTAACTTTCGTACAAGAGATTTCTTGCGTACCTTCTATTTTGAGAAGAAAACGGCTTACTGGAGTAAATATTCAACCATACTTATATTGTTATTTTGCATACAGGTGTATACACACGCGTTGCTTCATACAGTACCTGGATAGAGACCGTAGTGATGAATTCGGTTGATACAGTAATACCTCGATCGATTGTCATCATTTTCATTTTTATTATTATATTCTAAGCCATGACAGTTACCGTCATCAATTTTTGTCGTTCTTTTCTTGTTTCTCGCTTATCGTTGTCACCAGAGGTATGCTCATGTCTAGTTTAGCCCAAATATGTTCCCAGTGTCGTCACCATGCGATGTACCTGGAACTTGTTGTGTTAGCACAATATTCAAAACATAAGCATAAATGCTTTATATTCGATAATAAAGAGCTTAGGTGCCTCTACATGTGTTCATTTGCAAAGAAGTGAGAAAAAGAAACAAAAACTGCATGTTTTCTCAATGAAGTGCATGATTTTGGTTAGTTGATGACTTCAATAGTCATGAATGATTTAGTTATAGACTTACCTAGCTACTAAGTTACTCGCTTACTTGGATATTTGGGTGGCTTTCTTCACTAATTGTGCAGGTCCCAGCATAATTTGCACTTTTTCGGTGTTTCGCTGGTTTAGCCATTGTGGTTCCAAGGAGTCCCAAGATCAGTACAGCCGAAGCCTTCTCAGGTCGTCATCAACCGTGGTGGTCGCCGTCTTTGTGGATCAGAAGGAGTTTCCCTACCCATGCGACTAGTTTGACCAGGACATTGGGAGAGTGGGAGCATTAGATTACTTTCAGCTGAGCTTCCGGATGGAAAAACATCCGACTCCTCAGCTTGTGGGGCTCTGCTGGAGATGAAACCCTACTGTAAATCGCAGCCCGACATCCAGGAACGGCCACTTAGCCAAGAAGAAGGGATCAACCGTTGAGTGAAGACTCCTTATTATAGTTCGTAATGCATATCTGCTTTCAAACATTGTATTAATAGCTGATATATTTACGGATTACTTTTACTCTCTCTCAACGATGGTCAGCCTGCCTATCCTGACTGGGATGTTCCTCGGTGTACAACTGTGATGTACACTGGAGGTTCATCCTCCAGTTGAGTCTCCGAGGATAAGAGAAATTTCGACATTTGTACCCGGAAACCTAGCTAAGAGCATCATAAGAGCTAATCAATAGCGTGAATCATTGCAATTTTGGTGGGAATCGGATAGTAACTAACTGGCAACTGGTTATGACTCGCAAAACACCTCGATGAGTATCGGCATGGATCCTATAGTCTTCTCCTCGTTTTTATTTAGCAAAAGCAGAATATTTAAAAAAAATATGTAAACAGAAAAAATAAACCGAAAATGAACCGCAAGGAGAAATGCCTCATTATCACGCGTGATATTGGACGGTATATAAACCCGTTATTCTGATGGGAGAGGCACACTACGTTTCAATGTGAACTCTGTGCGGTTGGTCTCCACGTGACATACTCACTGGAAGACTCGTACAAAGCAGTGAACGAGCAGAGAAACTATTCTGTGTTCAGTGTGATTGAAATCTTGGTTTAGCGTTTTCTGTTTGGTTATGGAGGTGTTTGGCCGAATATGTTGCTGTCAACTTGAGCTTTCCAGGCTCTGAGGGAGGCGAAATCCGCCGAAACGTCAGCTTGTACGTAAATAAAGAAATAAAATAGCACCTCGTGTTTGCTGAACAGAAGTGGAAAGAATTATGTAAACAGAGATGAAATAGGTAACACAAAAATAGATCCTACAGCTTCTCCTTTGGCAAAACGACTAAACTCAAACCTGTGTCGACGTCTTCCGGTAAAGCGTTTCCGATTTTGTTCGTTTTCATCTGTTCGTACTCTAACGTAAGTATGTAGCTTTGGTGGATGGCTATGGGCAGTTCGTGAAAGGTCAATACGTCCGAATTTCAGCGTTGATGAAGTCATACAGCCCTCTTGCATATGTCGCCAATAGAAATCCTCTTCGAATGTCGCTGTAACGATATTTTCATATTACTGTATATAAGACTGTGTAAAGTAAAGTTAAATGAATGGATAGAACCGTAAAGCTTTACAAACGAACGAGTAGGATCTGTCTGCAGGTAGTTCACAATAGCAAACGATATAACTATGTTACGATCAAGTATATAACTGAGTTCGATATCATCATCGTCTAATCCAAATGGTCTCAGCAAATCCTGACCGACCTGGAACTTAATGTTTTACATTATCATAATTTATACCACACGTCAGTGTGGGGGTAAGTTCGACCACATTTATGAACAAACGGGAGAGATATGAAAGCGACGTCGGACTTCAGTGAGAAGCACTGGATGTTCTTCTTTGATATGGTAGGATGGGTGGCATATTATCAATAAAAACTAATTAACCTCCATTCTGTTCAAAAATGACTTCCACAAACTTGTAAATTGTATTGTGCAACTTAACTGTGTCGGTCGGCCTAGGTGTTCCTGGGTGACGGGTTGCGATGTACTGCGGGGCGATTCATCCCCCCGGCAAGGTCTCCCAAGCTAAGTAGGAGTCCAGCATTTCCATCAAAAAGCCCAACTAAGAGTAAACGAATACCAGGATCCATCACCTTCTTGGTGTCAAAATAGTCGCATGGTGACAAATTTCCCTCTGATCCACAAGGACGGCGAATGCCCGTGGTGCTGACGAACTGGGGAAGACTTTGGCTAGGCTCACATCGGGACGCCAGAAAACCACAATGGCTAAACCAGAGTGTCCGGTCAAATGTAAGTTATGCTGGGGCCCGCACAATCAGTGAGGGTGGGCCGTTCAAGTATCCAAATAAGCAGTTGTGTCGGTCTAACTCTCAGTTCCGCTAGTGTTGTTTGACAGCTCGTTAGTCTTACAGGATCAATTTTTTAAACATATGTATTGCGATTCGGAAAGTGATTATGGATTTGGCCTGTTGTTTACTGAGGTATCTATTGCTACCCAAGCGATTGTTCATCACCACTCAATAAAATAATGAATTGGCTTTTTCAATAGGAAAACTTCAAACCGACCTTAAACCAGCCAACATAGAAAAGAAATTGAACCACTGTGAATATTGGAAACACTGTATCAAATCCACCATCATCGTCGATATGCTGTCGGCCGAATAAACAGAACAGAAAGAACGAATATGTTGCCAGCGATGCCACCTTAAAAAAAGGCGTTCCAGATTTGTGCTACAAGCTTTTTTAGGATAATGAGACGAGAACTTTAACCTCGAGATACAATGGAAGAAATAATAGTGAAAATGGAAAAATCTGGCAATTTCATTACCGTTTCCAAAAGCTGAGAGGTCTTACGACAAAGCTTTCGGCGTTGATCAAATTCCGAAGGATATTCCACGAATTTGACTTTATCAAGTATTGCTCAAGATGACTGAATGCATATCTGGCTTATACAACGACTTTCGAGTGGTCTACCTATGTATCAAGTCAGTGCTGGCTTGCTTCCAGAGAAGCCTGGTAGTCAACACCATAATGATGGAAGGATTGCTGAAATAATGTGTGATCGAAGCAACGACGACGTGTGTATTTCAATGCGCCTCCAACCGCTGCGCTATCTGCCCCATTTCTTGTTCATATCACCAGAAAATTTAAGACAGAGTTTTTCGTATGAAGTGCTGAGATATTTGCAAAACTCCGGACCACAGGTGTATGCAGTGGGGAACGAATTCCGGACCCGAATGGTGCAGTGGTGAAGTGCGCTGCTCCCCGGTAAGGACAACAGCGCGTGTTCGTTCCCCACTGCATACACCTGTGGTCCGGAGTTTTACAAATATCTCAGCACTTCATACGAGTTATATTTCACAACACACCCTGCCATTAAGAAGAAAAAGGCAGTAAATAAAAGAGTTAAGATTGTGATTATAACGAGGCCTCAGCTTAACTGGGTTCAATGCCGATATTGGCTCCCCAGATCAATCCCGTTGACGGGTGATTGCTGATGGCAAAAAGATCGATAGAACTAGCTGAGATACATGCAAAGCGAAGGACCCGGATGGTGTAGTGGTGAAGTGCGCTGCTCCCAGGTAAGGACAACAGCGCGTGTTTGTTCCCCACTGCATACACCTGTGGTCCGGAGTTTTATTTTGAGAGACCCGGATGGTGTAGTGGTGAAGTGCGCTGCTCCCAGGTAAGGACAACAGCGCGTGTTCGTTCCCCACTGCATACACCTGTGGTCCGGAGTTTTATTTTGAGAGACCCGGATGGTGTAGTGGTGAAGTGCGCTGCTCCCCGGTGAGGACAACAGCGCGAGTTCGTTCCCCACTGCACACACCTGTGGTTCGGTGTTTTGCAAATATCTGAGCACTTCATACGAGTTATATTTCACAAAACACCCTGCCATTAAGAAGAAAAAGGCAGTAAATAAAAGAGTTAAGATTAGAGTTCTTGTCAAAAAAAATTTTCACTCGATCTTCCTTTCTCGTTTCCTCACTTCCCTTAGTTGTTCAAATAACACCGTCAAAAACGCATTAAAATGGTGATTTCTGCCATCACCGGTAAATAAGGGCACGTGCGGTGTTGGGAGCAAAATGCCACAGAATATACAGAGGATCTTTGGTTTGATCTTATGACCAGAACTAGCCAAGTCCTCCGTCCAACCAGAGTCAACATCAAAGGGATGCCTTGTTTGGAACGATAAAAAACACTGACTTGATAGACCGATAGGCTTCCGTAAGTTTTTATATAGGTCAAACGCGCATTCAATCACTTACATGATGTTACGAATAGAATCAAACAGATTACCCATTTCTAACGGACTGATTAACGCTAAAGACCTTGCTCCTCTAACTTTGCGCTAGGAAACAATCAAACAAACTTTGGATTCATTTTTTGATTGTGAAGTGCAGAGAGAAGTAAATTGTGTTGGCATCAAAGTGAGAATCGAAGGCTGGACCTTGAGGGTTCTCGCTAAGGCTGAATAAACAGCAGATTGTAAAAGACGGTGTGAAAAACCAAAAGCTGTTGAACGGCACAGCTTGATCGCTAACAATTTCTAGTACAGCAGTCGACTTTCTTCTCAGAACACCTTCCGCATCAACGGAAACTCTTGCAGAGAACCTGTATTGGAAAATTTTGATGACTGTTGGTAGTTAGAGCCCCTCAGTGCACCACATCTTCCTTTCTTTCCCTGTCCCATTTGCACACTGCTCCTCTGTCTCTCCTTCTCCCTCCCTCTATCTCTCTCTCACTTTTCCCAGTTCTTTGAAGAGATCTACTCCATGTGTCTCTCGCTACTTTTCTCGCGTTCACATCTTTGGTTACCCTCGTTGTTTCCTTCTTTTAACGTTGTCTTCTCCTTCTTTTCCAGCACGTCAGAAACCTGATACACTATTGCTCCTGTTCAATTCTCATCTGTTTTGTTGTTTTTCATTCTTATAAAAAAAGGATAAAGCTCTTGGCGTTGATCTATCCATGGATGCGTTGATCAACCTTTGAGAAATGCGTCATGCATTCAACTTCATTAAGCATCGTTGGAGGCGATTGAATGCGTACCTGGCCTTTATAATGACTTGCAGTGGTCTACCGATGTATTGAGCCAATGCTGCTATCCTCTCAAACGAGCCTGGTACCAATTTGCTGACACCGGAGGGATGAAGAGCTCGGTGGGCATGGGACGCGGGGATCGAGGATCGATCCCATATGTATTGCAAGGCGCCTCCGACCACTGTGCTACACGCCCTCTTTTTTTCGTTCTTACGACTGCTTTTCTTCACAAAAACACTCAACCACCAAGAACTGAGACTAGCTCACTAACCTGACTGTAGACAAGAGGTACACAAACCCAATCATGGCAGAAAAGTTTTCGGAACGACGTACGGTACTGCTTCAATTCATTAACAAAAGTAAAAAGGTACCCACTTGGAGCTCGGCCAGATTCTACCTGTAATATCGACCTCAGTATAATTAAAAGACTATGTCAACAAAATCGTTCCAGTGTTTGAAATCATTTCTGAACATTTGCGTAAGTTTCGTGCCCAGCGAGCTCAAAATGGCTAGGAAACTTTTTTTGCCATGCCGTAAAGTCGACGTGCTTTTCTATTTATCGATTTTCGATCAATATGCTCAATTCAAATTGTTCAAATATCACAAGATGTATCCAGCATACAATATCGACCATATTTTCTAATGATTTCTATACAAACCTCTACCGAAACTAACTGCTGTGCCCAGTGAAGAGGAGCCATCCATCGAATGCCAGGTGCCAGACCCTTAGACAAACAATTCGTGTTGATCTATATTCGATCGTTCTTTTTCCAATGATTAGATTATTGCCGTTACTAAATGGACTGAAATCATAACGAAAGTTCCTTATGGTGGAGATTTTCTTTCGGAATGTATAGAAACCACGGATGAGTTCAATTTCAAGTTGAACAAGTGTCATCTCTTTTCCATTGGTCAGTTAATGATTCTATTTACTTATCGTTAATTGAGCTGTTATTCGAGAACCACGTGCCAGCGATTCCGTGGGACCTTTTTCTTTGGAAAAACACATTTTTTGCTCAGGTACGTCGTGAACAATCCTGGCCAATAGATCGAAGATTTTCTTGTTTTACCTAGAAAGCTTAGTCACTGGTGGTTCCTAATCAGTGACTGTTGTTTGTTCGAACGTATATCTGCGTATTAGGGAATGACCATAGACTCCGATAAGTGGCAGAACTCTAGGTTTCCTCCTCCTCTTACATGAAACTATGGGATACTCCCAGCACTAATCCTTCTTTTTCTCTCTTTCTCTTCCTCCTTTGTCCCACTCTTCCTCTCTCCCTCTCTAACGCGCTGTATAACGGTGATCGCCCTTCCAAGTTGTTTACGTAGCGTTCAGGTTTCCGAAGCCTGCGTAAAGCTACTAGAACCATGGCATCAAAGCAAGGGCGAGGATCAATACATCTGTAGCCGTTACTACCTCTCTTCTTTCCTTGTGGTTCTCTTTCATCCTTCCTCTCAAGGTTTTGAATACTCAAGAGTAACGAGCACTTTCTTAGACTGCTGAGCTCACAAAAGGTTGGTATGAAAAAATGTTTTATCGGCGCCTAATTGCTTTATTCATAGTTGATTCGAGTCGATTCTTCACAGCCGCTCCTCGTGGCGATTATCTAAGATCTAAGGAAAAGTTTGAGAAAATATCGATTCTTATCAAGGTTGGATAAAAATCAGTTCCAAAGATATTGTTAGAACGTAAGTTAGTAGCTGCCCATATTGATCTCCTAAAAACGATGGTACAGGAGCGACATCGCTAGGACGAATCTTCCATTGACCATCACTTTCGTTATGATAACTTCGACCAAAAGACTCCTACGTCCAACGAGGATTCCCGGACTTGTGGATTGTCATGAATGGGTTTGGCCGTTATGATGAAATCAAGCAGGTTCTTGCCTTGTTAGTTCTGTATCAGTGTTTTCAGATCTGAAGTTCCGTAAATCTTCCCCTGAGAGTTGAATTTGCTAACAGTTATTTCTAGACGGTGATCTTCAATTTAAATTCACTACAATTTGGAATCACGATGAAATTTCAGTATGATTACAATTATTTGGATGGAATAAGTCAGCTGAACGATGTTGAGACAAGGATTTGGTTCTCTGATAATATCTATATCTCAAGCAGAAAGGGGATATCCTCCGTTAGGAAGACCTATGGAAAAGTAAGCAAAAAATTAGTTCTCTATTATCACTGCTATTACTGTTACTACTACAATCGCTATTTTATTCAAGCAAGATCTTTTGTAGCTGTAATCATAATTTAATGGATCAACACAAAAATACCTGCATTTTTTCCAGTATCGTAAACTCGCGCTCTGTCAGCAACCCGGCGTGAATCAGATCTCGAACCCTAGGGAACCGAAGGCGAATTTTGTCCGAGATGTCTCTCCTAATGAGAATTGAACGGATGTTGTGTAGATAAATTAGAGTGAAAAGATGTATTTTTTAAATTGTTCAGCAGTTTAGTACAACGATTTAGCACAAAATTAGTAAAGAAAAGAGAAAAACGTAGTTGGAATAGGAGGAATGGGCAAAAAGATATGAGTTATATGATTTATGTTATAGTTATTTGATGGCACTGATTGGTAGAACTAGCTGAGAGACAGGAGAAACGAAGGACCCACATGGTGTGGAGCTGAATGCGATAGTCCCCGAAAATAGCGCGTTCGTTTCCCATCGCAGAAACCTGCGGCCCGGAGTTTTGCAAATATCTCAGCATCAATGTGAGTTATATTTTCTTAACCTTAGGGTTTCGTTATTTAGCATATTTACGATTGAAAACAATATTTATTAGAAAACATTTCCGAGTGCAGACAACACCTCATAACGTAAAAGACGTGGGTTTTATCGTTTCTCACTGTAGTTCCGTAGCATCATATGCTATAAAAATGCTATAACAAACCTAGCTGTCGAAATTATTGATTAGTCATTGGTATTACAAAAGAAAAATGGTAGGAAAATTGGTGAAAATGAGGAAGGGTTATCCAGCTTTTCTTTCTGATCAACACCCACAAAATATACCTTTATCCCTGGTAACGACATACGAAGTATTCTGAGATTGATGGTTCTGTGGAAAAATCATATATAAGTGAATGGAACAAATTAAGAAGAAAATGAATGAAAAATGAAAGATGAAGGAGAGAAGAAAATAGAAATGAACTAGGAAATAAATTATGGAAAATACCATGCTAGTGCGGCAACAAGGTTGACATATCTGGCGATTTGATGACGCTTCTCTCTCGCGTCTTCAGTATTCTGAGGAAAAATCATACACACCATCGATAGGAGGTCTTCCGGCCAACTTAGGCACTCAAATTGTCGCCACCATCTGACCTGACTTACTCATAAAAACTATCTGGTCAGATTTTGGTCCATTACTGTCAAAATATTGAGAACGACTTTCACAGAACACTTTAAAGATGTTTCCGCAACTCCTTCCTTCTTTCTAAAAGCGGAGCTAACAGGAGTGAAGAGAATTCACAAATTAGAAGAGTCTGGTTCAGAGACCTGTTCTACACTTACAAAGCTACTTTTTCTGTCAAATGGATTTCGCTAGGTCTTCAGGTTTCATGGGCAGTGTCTTACTGAACTGAATTGCAGCCTCCATGGCACCCTATGCTTTAGTTATTTCAGTGTAGTTGCCTTTTTCTGCACATGGCTGGCGCTTGTAGCGCTGTGGTTACACTGGGCCGGTCGCCAGTTGTACTAGGTTCCCAGGCCTCACCAAGTTTTCAATCCTTGCAGGGTCAGTAAACTGGTGCCAGATTTGTCTGAGAGGATAAAAACATTTACTTGGTACAGCTTCCGAAAGTTATTGTGCAGGCCACAAATGAATTCAGTTATGTTTATGACGCTACGAATGGAGCCAAACGCCTGGCGTATCTCTCAGGGATTAATCAACGGGGAACAATACGCTTCATAACGATACTGAAATATTCGCAAAACTTGCATCACAGGTCAGATCGAACCACGATTACCCTTTCTGGAGGCTCGTGTGTTACACAATGCACCACTGAGGTAATTGCTTTGCTTTTTCTCAGCCAGTTTTCTAGTTAACGGCGCCATCAACAATCACCTGTCAAAGGGATTGATCTAGGTAGTACAAATGGACATTGAAACCAATTAAACTGAGATTGTAGTCAAAATCATAATGTTGACCTTTTAAGTAACTCCCACGACCGACTTTCTATTAACCTCGGCATTGATCAAGTAATTCTTCGTATTTTTGTTGAGCAAACGCGAGGTGTTATTATTCTTTATTCACGAATAAGCTGACGCTTCGGTGGATTTCGCCTTCCTCAGAGCCTGGAAAGGTTAAATTGATAGCAATCTACTCGGCCAGACGCCTCCATAACCAAACAAAGAAACTCTAAACCAAGATTTCAATGTGATTGGTTGACCTTTTATTTGCTACCTACCACAATGCCCACCCCTTGGAAAAGGTAATCATGGTTAGATCTGCACTGGGGTTCAAGTTTTGCGAATTTCTAAGCATCAATATGGCTGCAATGTAATCAGTTTTGTATTTAGTGCCTATCCTTTCTTGTGGAAGAGTATAATGTAAAGTATACCCACAATGGTACTGAGATATTTGCAAAACTCCGGACCACAGATGTCTGCGGTGGAGATCAAACTCGTTATTACCCTTTTGGGGCTAACGCGTTCACCACCACACCATGCGGGTCCTTAATTTCGCGCTTCTCTCAGGTAGTTTCTTATCAAGCCATGAGCAATTCTTTGCCTCCTTTACTAATTTCTGTACCTTCTTAGATTAGTGAGCTAACATGAATTTGATAAATAAAGGATAAAGGGTTCTTCGCTTCGCCTTTCTATTTCAATGCCGATTTCTGCTCCACAGATCAATCCAGCCAATAGATGATTGCTAGTGGCACCCATAAAACACGAATGGGAGAGCGTACACGAGGTGGTGAACACGTTAGTCGCGCAAGATGCAATAGCAGGTTCGATCCCCACCCCAAACGCTTGACGTCGGGAGTTTTGCAAATATCTCAGCATCATTGTGGTTGCATTTCACATAATACCCTTTCGCGAAAAATGCTTCATATTTGTTTTTCAAACAATAGGCTATTTCAATATAAAGATAACGCACTTTTTTATTTAATTTAACATTCCGATACCTGGAAACCACATTAGAAACGTAAAATCCTAGAAGAAAGGTGAGTGGAATAAGACGAGTGTACTCGTTGAACTCCAGGCAAAGCATACGAAATTTCTTTCTAAACGGAAATATTGATGCAAAAGGAAAGAAATTAAAAGCTTAGTGTCACTATTATATGAGCAAGACAAAAACAAAAAATTTCCAAAACTATAGGAAACTCGTACTTGTATTCTAACTCGCCCGTTTGGTCCAGTAATGGAATACCGTAGTGGTAAAATATTCGAACAGCGTAGAAAAGTAGTATAAACGCAACTAATTCGACCCATACAGATCGCCAAATTGAACCTTTCCATCGTAAGAGAAGTCGACAAAAATTTCCGGAATAGGAGACTGTCATTCGGCTCGGAGAGACTCTCCTACTGAATGTAAAAGGAGAAAAAAAGTGCAACTCGCTCGTAATCAAAAGCAAAATAATATTCGGATGAAATTTCACCTATGGCATTACTGTAGACTGAGAGTCCTGTGGTTTTTGAGAGAATCAATAGGTTCAATTGATTTGGAATGCGTAAAAATAAAAAATACTCGTTTATTTATGTTTGTCTACTAAAAATAGTCATTAAATTCAATCAAGGCGCGAAAAGAGAAATCAGTTTGTGCCAAAGTTTCGTTAGAAAGCCAAGGATTCGATGTTGATTGAGCTTCGTGCGAACAAAGGAGTTTAACGACAGCAAACACTTATGTCACCGAACGAATCACCAGCATCATCCCATTCGAGTTCGACTATTCGAATAATCGATTCGCAGAAACCGTCAAACAAACATCTTGAACAGGATTTCTCTTTACTATTTTCCTACTTCTGCCCAATACCGTTCCACTATATCAAATCTATCAGTACTTTAAGATGTTTCTACCGAAAAGTGAAAAACTTTTCTTGATCATCATAACCTTCCTCTCTTAGTTAATCCAGCACATCTTTTGGCAATGAGTTAGATCAAAAATCACATCTTGGAAACCAGGACATTATCCATCGATCGCGAAGCACAGTCGGACCGTCATGTAGTCAGAAAAACAGACGAAAAACTGTAGAGAGAACAACACTATACTTCACGAGGATGCAGGCATACCTTTGGACGACCATCTTTGTTTTGGGCGGACGTGTTCATAACTAGAAGTCAATCAGCTGTACTCACACCTACAGTTGTTCTACAAATCACGGTATGAGACTCGCACACGCCACCATGCTCGAAATGAACCACCACCATGGACGATGATTGAAAAGGAAAGAAACTAATGGGAGATATGATGGGATCCGCAGAATAAGTAAAGACAGCCGTCAAAATATCTTACGACACAATGATGCTGCGACGCTTGCAAAACTCGGTCCCCAGGCCAGATCTGAACCCGCGATTACGGTTTCCGGGAGCTCACGTGTTACCTACCGCACCACCGAGGCCCTTGCTTTATTTTCCGGCATTTGTTATCAATGCTGTCCTTTTTTGAAGAACTGGGACGTTCTTCTTAGAATAAAAAACTGGCTGAGAGAAAGGTAAAAGCAAAGGCAAGGCTTCGGTTAGCGTGGTGGATAGCACATGGGACAACTGAAAAGATAATCGCAAAGTTCGAAGCCATGCTGAGTACTCGAGTTTTGCTCATATCTCAGTGTCCCTATGGTCGTGCTGCAAATAATTCCATGCCATGAAGAAAAGCATATTGAAACATTGTGATGTTCAGTACAGTTTGAGCTTGACTGGGTTCAATGCGATTTGTGTTCCCGAGATCATTCCCGTTGATGAGTGATTCCTGATCACAGCGTTAGAGTAAAAATAAAATAAAGGAATAAAAGGATAAAGCTCCCGGCGCTGATCAACCCCTGAGGGATGCGCCATGCATTCAACTTCATTAAGCATCGTTTCGAGCTGATTGAATGCATATCCGGCCTTTACAATGACTCGTGGTGGCCTACCGATGTGTCGAACCAGTGCTGCTATCCTTCCAGAAAAGTCCAATACAAGTCTGCCGACCCTAGAGAGATGAAAGGCTTGGCGAGCCACGGGCGCAGCGATCGATCCGATTTGTGTGCGTCGCACAGCGCCTTCTAGCACTACGCCACACCCGCCCTCGGAGATTGAAAGGAAGAAATAAAATAAGGCAGAACAAAGGGTAGAAAGAGAGAGAGGGAGAGAAAGGGAATAAGACGGAGAGGAATGGATTAAGTGAGAAAAAATGTGAAAATAAAACAAAAGCCAATTACTAAGAGACAAAAAAAACTATAGGTGCGAAGAGAGGCATGAAGAGAGAAACACAATATACGAAAGGGAGCTGATTAAAAAAAGGAGCAGCTTGAAAACTTAGAAAAGCTTTATGTATTGTTTTACCAGGGTTTTCGATGGGTTATGTGAAATAGAGAAGTTCTGTAGGTTAACATGAAGGTCAGGCAAGGAAAAGCCTTTATGTGATCACGTGACCTCTATATGAGTCATACAATGAGAAATTAGGGGCCGCCTTCGAATTTCGACCAACATATCTCGGGTCATAGTGAATTTCAGTGCTTGCAGTAGAAAATAATTGAACTTTTAGATTTTATTCCTAGTTAACTAAAAGTCCTCTTGCTTTACCATAGTGAAACTCTGATTTTCTGGGTTCCATGGCATAGATCTCTTCCACGGCTCATATTCCCAAGATGAAAGCAAACGAAAAAACGGAATTCCCTCTAGCAGGATACAGTAGTATTCCAGAATGTACCACTAATGATTGCATCAGTCGGTCTTGCACTGAAAAATTTAAAACCTTTAAATTTCATTTCCAAATTCCTGAAAACCCTGATTCTAAACATATTCAAATTTGAAAGGATACTGTATCGAAATCTGTGATGAATTAAAGTTTCTTCTATGAACTTATAAAGTTCTGAACTCCTAAAAACTGTAATGAGCGGGAAGTTGCCGTTAGTTGTAGAAAGGCCAACTTTGTCGAAAAGGGCTGAAAGGATACAAAGCGCATCAGGTTTTCGCACTATGCTCTGTTTTTATTGCCTCTGGCAAGAACATAGCTACGGTTAGTTCGCCGGATCCCTATATGCCATAGATTTGCACCTAGTAAGGGTTCAGAACAAAAACATCGCATTTCTTTTTGGCTTGGGTGATAATGCTAGAGGAAAAATCCCCCGTTGTACATCGCATCTGCTAACAACCCTACTAAATGACTACCTACTAATGGTAGATGACTAAACTGCCAGTCTGTGGTATTTCTTTTGCTCAGCTTTCATTTACTTATAAATTTCTCTATTATTTGCAATAACTAGTCCGTATTTTCTTAGGATAGTGAGCCCACAGGAGTTACAAAAACTCCTACTTTTAAAACATTGTTACAAAAAAACCCGCATTATTATGATTTCTCCAAGAACCGTTCGCTCTGTCGTAGATCTGAAATACAAGAATTACGAGCTCTTTAGCGGAAGTTTTTGTTTCTGACAACATTCCCATATCTCACGGATCTATCTCATATAAGATCTCAAGCCACTTACAAATGTGTGTGGCGGAGCATTTCGTAACTGGTAGGATGCTAAGTACCGTCCAGTATCCAAACTACCTTGTACTTATCCAGAAACGCGGATTAGGCCAGTATATTGTTGAGCATGCCTGACCTATAACTTCTGTATAAGTTATAACACTCGTTAATTCTTGCATGGATATACCTACCTTATACGTGGAACTAATCCTTCTTAGTTGGGAAACCATAATGGGAAAACTGCTGAGTGAAGTAGTGAGGTCTCCTAATTCTATCGGCAAGAACTCTTGTAAAGAAACCCAGAACTAGCTAACTAAGTGAAGAAACTTCACTCATGCAGTACTCCAGTCCATCTGATCTAACTTGGTCCCATTACGAAGACCCATATCGCAAAAATGAACACTCGATTAGAATTATCGCGTCTCTGAAGATGGCGGTGGTACTTAGACGTTATCCGCAATAAGGACTTCAAACAATTTCGTGTAAGCAGACCAGGAAACCAGAACAGTACTCTGTTGTATTAACTGGCTGCTGGACCACGACGCTTGTGCAACAGTGCTTAGAGGTGCCCGGCAATACATACGTAGTCGTTGGTTTGGATTCCACTTCAGAGAACAACCAGCTGCCCACGAGTACCATTCCCTCAAAAAAGCTACAAACGAAGGAAAAAAGAGGAAAACAATGGAGCTCTTCGTTTGCTTTGAGGCAGCCAAGTTCAAGAAGTTGCATTGGGACTCGACAGGGCGAACAGTAACTTTATTGATAACCGCACTACTTAATAATTACCGGAATTACAGATGGTACAGATAATTTATGACAGTTAACCACAGAGATCGAAAATGACATAAAACATCAGCATCAAGAATCAGCCTCTCCACACCGATTTAGTATAAATATGCATCACACATTGTGAGGATTGATAACGTCTAAGGAAAACCGTAACATATCTATACGTATTCTACAGAAATACAGTAAACTTGACCGAATGTTGGACAATTTAGGAAAGTTTACTGTTGGTAAGTTCGAGTATGAGCAAAATAATCAATTAGAAGTGAATGCGACAGCAAAAATCTAAACAATTGAAGAAGGAATGTGAAATTCTGAGGGGAATGTACCTGCTTAAAGGATGTTGAAAAGATTGTGAAGGCATGAATCTGAAAAAAACTCAAATAATGGCTTTCGTAGAAGCAACTTTCAAGAATGAAACTGGAAATGAAGAAATAAACCCATTAGTTTGTAGCAAAAATGTGGCTCTGGACGGGAAAAAAACAAGAACAATAACCATAACAATACCTAAAGGATAATCATGATAACACGGACGAAAATTTCAAACATTATAACGACTGTGTACTGTAACAGAAGCAGACTTACACAATGAACCAGGTAAGGAAATCAGCAACTTTCAAAAAATAGCGTACACTAGATTTAACGCTGTTCTCGGCGTTGTCGACGAATGTGAGGATTCACAGCGGTTGAACTACTAGTGGGATGATCTTCTCGCGAATCTCGACTGAAAGAGATTAAGCATAATAGGAGAAACGAGAAATGTACCTTAAATAAGTAAAACTCGCGAAAACATGAGAAACGGTCCGCCATTGGCATTGCTGCTTTCGTCTGTACTTCTTGCTGAAAGCACCTCTTCACCATCATTTATCTCATTTTCGCCAACGCCATCTGAAAAATTACAACTACGATGCGGTGTAAAAAACAAGAGTAAAATTCCGTTGACTAGTCCAACTAGACAAAAATACGGTTTGTTTTAAAAAAAACTGCACTAAGTCCCAATCACAAAAGCGATCAGTACCATCTCCTTGTTCTGCAGTACTCTGATTTGAATCCGTCACCCAACTTCCACTTCCGCTAGCATCAGAGCCATCAGAGTCAGAACCGGCTTCCAACTTTAATGAAAAACCAAAGGATTGCTTTGCGAACCGTTCTTTTGGTTAAAATGTTTACGAACCCTTCCAATAGCTTCGAAGACGCCTGTATCGTCTTCGTCCTCATCAACATTAATATCGTTGTCATCATCATCGTCATCATCACCGTCATCCATATCTTCATCGTCGACAAAGGAATCCGAATCACTTTCAGTTCCATCCTCATCTTCAACCTCATCCACATCGTCGTCTTCAGCATCACGCCTTTTCCCAACCTAAAACCGCGAACCAGAAATTTACACATTTTCAAAACGAAGCTACAACGCGGATAAAGTTGGGAAATTTTGTCACTAACCTCGTATGTCCTTACTACGGTTTCCTCGTCCCTTAGCATATATTCTACTTCTCCTTCACCTGTTCTCTCGACGACTACTACATATCTATCAGAGTGATCACACGCAATATCTAGCAGAGGTCGTTTCGTGTCAACCGTAGCAATGACCTGAACAATTATGTGAAATGCAGAGCGGACAACGACATGTACGAAATTCGCATTTAAACCATTGAACAATCGGTATGGGTGATCTTTGTTGAAGCGGTATAAGTACCGAACAGAATGAGAAAAAGTATTAGCAGCATCCTTTTTGAACTAACCAATTCAACACTCTAAGTAGTTCTATGCTACGTCATGTATACATATGCATATATATTTTGTCATGACAACTTTATATATATGTATATGTATGTATATACATATGTACGCATATATGTATACATAATACACAACCCATTTACACATTTATTGTGCGAATACTAACATTTCTTTCATTCCATTCGCTATCTCGCATTCATCATCCACATCGTCGGCTTGTTTTCAGTTTTCTATCATGGACCTGGCTACTTCTTAGAGACTTTTATTCTTAGTGTTGCGAAATGCTGATCGAATTCTTTCTCCCTGGAAGCCTAGATAACTGTTCCAGAGCTTTTCTAGGTCTTCTGGATTCAAGGCAGCTTCCCAGATAAGTATGGTACCTACGCCCCTGCTACGGATTGGTCTGGTTGGCTTGCAGTGTAGTCGAACCACTGTCTTATGCGTCTTAAACGGAATTACTGTAACCGTGTCATCGATACGCCTTTTATATACGCGTATATATACATATGTATATATATATATATATATGCACTATATACATGCGCAATCGAAGTCACTTTGACATTGTCAGGACCCAAAACAGAGATCCATAAAATAAATATAAACATACAGAGTAGTCGAAGGCATCAAATGTGCGGAATGATGCACAATAGTTGTTGCGGAAGACGTCAGCACAATCGGAGTACATCGCCGCGTAGACAATATTCTAAAGCAGTTCAAACATTGTGTGCTAAAAACCTAAAATTGTGTTCAAAAACAGTAGCACTTACACCGGTGCTGTTGAAAACGAGTTTACATTGTTCCAATGCTGGAACGAGATGAAGTAAACGGAACGTACGTGTGTCCCACTGCAACATATAAAGAACAAGAATATGGAACATAGCTATTTAGTGGATGGGCTGCCTAAACCTCCCCAATAGAAATACTGAACAAATAGAAAACGCCAAAAGAAGAGGAAAGAACAAAATAAGGAGTTAAAATGCTTAACTTTTGATGAACTGTTCCCTATTTCTTTACGGTAGGGTTATCACGTGAAGTACAACTGCAGCGATTCTATGATATTTGAAAACTTGGACCACAGGTCAGACCTGAACGCGCGACAACCCTTCTCAAGAGTTCAAGTCTTATACTCATCAGACCATTTCCACTGAAAGATGATTGCTAATGGCACTGCTAAGCTAAAAAATAGGCAAAGAGGAAGGTAAAGCAAGGGCCTGTGTGGTGCGGTGGGTAACAGGTGAGGCTCTGGAAAGGGTAATCGCAGTTTCGAATATAGCCTAGGATTCAAGTCTAGCAAATCAAAATGACGACTGGTGAAATGCGAATCAATAATGGCACCAACCACTTCGGTATTGATGATAATTTCGCTTCCGTGCGGGTGGAATACACTACAGCCAGTTGTACTGAGCTGATCAAAGGTGTGCACCACCTAAATCGAGCTTCACAGTATTAACGAATATACAAATAAGTTCATGAGGAAAAAAATACTGTACCGGCCCGCGAATATCGTATAGCACTCCATCATTGAGAATCATTGTGTCACAGGGCGAAAAAGATGCTCGATTATGTGTATAGCCAGTAGGAAAGGAATCCCGACGATATTTTCTCAATGTCAGACCCGTTTCAGTGTCATACAGCTAAAACAGACGAAAAAAAAATAGAAAAAAAACAACAGGGAATAGTTAAACGGTAAAGGGTTAAGTTCTCAGCGTTAATCAGTCCCTGAAGGATGTGCCATGAATTCGACTTCAGCAAGCGTCTTTAGAAGTAATTAAATGCATATCTGGCCTATACATTGATTCGCAAAGGCCTAACGATGTGTCGAGTCAGTGCTACCATCCTTCCAGACAAGTCTGGTGCCAATTTGCCGATCGCGGAGGGATGGAAGGATGAGCCTGGTGCGTGGGATCGAACTCAAGTGTAGTGGAAAGGGCCTCTAATCACTGCGATACATGCGGCCCGCAGTCAGCACATCGTTAATTATTTAAAAAAGGTGTAAAACATGTAGTAGTAAGAATTAAGGATTGAAGGGAACTTATACCGTTGCCACAACATCATTGGTACTGATAATTCTGTCAGTTGTGAGATTAGGAAACTGGACAAAGTATTCTCCAGCCAGGTCGAAAGCATGTTCCTGTTGATCTCCCAGTTTCCAGAGCGCAGATAAAGGACTGATAAATGCCGACGACGTTAACAAAAAGTTTCCATCCTAAAATCATGGAGAAGAAAATGTCATCAAAAAATTTAACGTCTATCTATCAAATAGACCAAAACATCAAACTGAGTTATTTCCCCTCCCGTCTTTTATTGAAACTCACATCAATCCAGAATAACATTAACTAATCAATTACACTCCACCTTTTACAATGGAGTTCTACTAACCTTCAGTAACTGGAAAATTCACTGGTTTTATAATTCTTGGATTTCATAGGCAAAACTGATTCGGATCTTTATCGAAAGGCTGCTATAGCTTTTTGTAGAACGAATATGTAGTGATAACTAAGCGTACGGCCTACTGAATAAGGCGGAAATACCAAAACATTACAGCCAAATCGCAGAAATCCTTTGTGCATCACGAAAGACACGTAAATGTAGGACTGTAGTAATGGATTACACCAGGTTCCCAGACTCAGTAATTGTTATAATCCTTTTTTGTTCTCTCGCCCCAATTTTTAAGCTCATTTATCAGCAGTATTTCTGACGATTAAGTCCCTTTTCTTAATAGAAGCTTATGATATGAGACATATTTCACTCAGATATGCACAGTACAACTCGTTCGGATGTAAACTGGTTTCTCTTAAAATTAAAAGAGCTTCATCGCACATATACCGCGCTCTATTCCACTTATTGCTGCCGTATACGGTCCACTTTTCGGTACTCGCTATCAACAGTTTTGGGCTGGCTCGTTTTTTACGCTTGGGGAAGAGGTCTATGAAGTATATGAAGTCAACTTCCTTGTTTATCTCAAGCCTTGCAGTTCTCTCGAAACAACTAGATGTTTATGCTAAAGACTTCTTGACCTCTGGAGTTATTCAACTGCAGCTGAATTAAAGCAAAGCAAGGATTTCTTCACTATTAGTCATTGACGGCTACCCTAGACTTTGTATATGGCTGATATCAAAATTTTCATAAGGAAAAAGTCTTCACTGCTTACACCACTTCGAAGTGCCAAAGGCATTGTCGCCGTGTCGTATATCTCAACTTCAGTCAGCGATGTGTTCTTAAATTTTAGCACAAAAAGCGGGGTGAGGCTTCTAATTAATTTTTTTCTTTTGTACAGTAAGAATTTGGCAAGGTGCACAAACCACAACTACCCTGGCTGCAGTGTTCTTTTTGCATTGGAATGAGGTCCCTCAAATGTTACGCAGATATTAAAGGTTTGAAGCTTCAAACGAACAGAATTTGCGCATGACACCATCAAGTGGTAAAAACCAAACGATAAAATCAAGAAGAAATTCCGCGCTAATCCAATCATAAACGAGCTATATGTGTGAAGAACACTTCATGAAAGGAAATGTTTCTTGCAAACATACCTTGCTAGGAACAATAGAAGTAATACCACTGGAATGGCACACTGTGTGAGACTCAATAGCTCCCGTTTCCATATTCAACCAATGGACCTCGCCAGAGAAGGTCCCGAGAATAAGATGTTCATCGTCGATCTAAACGAATATGTGTGTATGATGAATTGTGTATGATGAGTTTCGTTTACAGTAAAAAAATGATAAAAGGATCTTCGCATACAGAAAATGCACAGCTTGTATACATCTCTTCATGCTCAATTAACGTCCGAGAAGGGCGAAATCGACTGAACACGTATCTCTCATTTCTGGAGTGTACCATTGTCCTGGAGCAAAACCTTATAATTTTTCTTTCATCAACAGGAAAATTTTCTCATCAAAAAGTGGAATTTGGAAGTAAATATGTGATTATACAAACCAAGAGTTATACGGCAAAACGTCTCTCACGCTAATTCGTGTGACAATGTTTGTAGGGACCGATCCAACACTTCTGGGTTCAGGACATCGATGGGGATAGAAAAGAGAGAATGGAGGGCATGTCGTCACTGGATGTGAGCATTTTGAGTGCTGTACCCTAAAGAAATACACAAAATGGAAAACTCGTGAATAATTAGACATTAGGTCTTTCCGAAATTACTGCCTGATTTCAACCTGTATTTTTAAAACGGCACATCTTAGGACGGAAGTATGAAATTTTGACTTAAACAAAACCATTGGAATCCACGCATTTTTGCTGGCAAGAAATGAGTTTATTTATGCAATTTACGAAAATTCAGAACTTCTGGAGGCAACGAAGTCAATGAAGGTAGTTCCTCCCTCTGCTTGGTTTCTGAAGCAATTCTTGCACAAAAAGCTATCGAAATGGGTGATGACGTGATAGTCGGTAGGCGACAGGTCCAGCGAATATGATGGACAAAGCGGGTTCTCGTAGCCCTGCTTGTTCAACGTTTGCAGCTTCGTTAATGCGGCGTGTTGACGCGCACGCCATCATAAAGAAGGATTGATGTCTTCCCATTAACGAAAGGAAAAGGGAGAGATTATGGTTAGAAAGATTGACGTCTTCCCATTAACGAACCGGAAAGGCAGAAATTAAGGTTTCTAATGGAGTTCATCTTTGTTAGACACAATTTGTTACTGTAATGATATTAGCCAGATTCAGGAAACTGATGGATTAAATCATACGCCGCCAAATGGTGAGCACGACTTTATTTCCAACGATTTCGGTCTTGGGGAATGCTGGGACGTCTCACCCATTTAGCCACTAACCCGATCGTCGCTGATCGAAGTAGAGGATACACTTTCCGTCACACCTCTCAATATCGTGTGGAAACGCATGCACATAATAACAGCAAACGATATTTTAGAGCGGCGATTTATCTGGTTGTCAATCAATTCATGCACGATCTATTTGTCAAGCTTCTTGGACTTTTCATCTTTAAAAAATGTCCCGACAGTTGATATGCTTACAAGAAATCCTTCTGTAAGTTATCCAACATCCAACATGCGCGTATTTACTCACGATGCGATTTAATTACTAGGAGCGAAATTGCATAAAATGAGCTTTGCACTGATATATTACATGACTAAATTGAAAAAAAAAACTAATAGATAGAAGAACTATCTGAAAGACATATGAAACGAAGGACCCGCATGGTGCGGTGGTGAAAGCGTTAACCCTCGGAAAAGGCAATAGCGCGTTCGACCTTCACCGGAGACACCTGCGGCTCGGAGCTTTGCAAACACATCAGCATTATTATGTTTGTATTTGACAAAATAACCTGCCGTGAAAAATTGTAGAAGCCAGCACATAAAAAGTTAACATAGAAAAGCTATTGTTGAAACACTTACATGAAAAATGAAATCACAATCCGGCCATTAGTTTCGGAAAGATTTGGTAGAAATTTTACGGCAATACTAAAGAAAATGTATCTCACCTGAAATACTCCGTTACAATGTCGTCCAAATCTTTATATGGATGCATTGTGCCTCTGTCGCATATGGGCAACCTTGTACCACCAGACATCGAACTCCGTAGCTGCAGCTTTTGAGGGAAAACAGTAGAGGACCCTGAATACAGATCGTCTGGAAAACTTGTCAACAAATTTGAACGAGTAGCAATCTTAGAGATAATCCTATTAGAAAAAGTGGAAGAAACAAACTCGACTTCCGTACGCGTCCAGGTGATGGTTCCAAAAAGGTCTGGTCACACTGTGACCACTGCACGCTACCACTGCCAAGACGCTTGGTGTGAGCATTTAATGGTGTAGAAATCTCGGAACTCGTACCAGCATTGGTCAAACCAGATGCCCCCGGAAGAACTAGGGATCGTGGTTGAAGAACAGGTAGTACTAGTGATCGCATTCGAGGCTAAACTACAAAAAATTCACCGCATTTCAAAGCAAAATATACAAATAGAAATGATGAGAAAAACTGTAACGGAAACGAGAAAGTTTAATTGCTTGAGAGTGAAGCACCACAAGCCAAAATCATAAAGGACACTAACAAGTTTAAACAGTTGAGAGCGAAGGACGTTTGGAAACTTACCATTGGCGGTAATCGAGTTGGTGTTGTTGTTACACGGCTAGCTGGAACATCAGGAAGTTCTGCTTCACTTACCAGCTGCGAAGCAGTACGATTAAGACCTTTTCGTAAGAGATGGTCATGAATCAATTGCAAGAGCTCCTTTTCATTATAAGAGACACGAGTGTTAGCGATCACATGTGACTTCCATAACCTTTCCTACAAATAAATAAAATTATTATTTTCAACCAAAATCAGTGGTTATTTACATAGGAGAGGAATCAAAATAGCAAGATAGAAATGGGGACAGTTATATTTGCTTCCGTTATGATGATGGGTTGTACCTGAGTGAGATCTTTGGGATTAGCCAATTTATCAATCATTGGTCGTTGTGTAACTGTTTCAATCAGCTTCTTTGCCTCATCGCAAAACATTAAGTGTTCCGACCGTTTCTCTAACATTACTGGTTGCCGCATCAACCCTGGACAAAAATATACAATTACATGCTACACCGCCAAATAAAGTGTGATACAAGGTAACAAGATGCTCATTATCCTACCTTGTAATTCATTTCCAACAATGAATGGCAATTTTGAAAGGATCTGAGCAACAGGTTCCCACTTTGCCAATTCCCGAAGGGCACGGCAAGCTAACGCACGAGTTTCATCGGCATCTGCTATTGGGTGGTTGGCGCGAATCACCGTTAATAAGATCTGAGAGGAAAGTCCGATTTGGCTTAAGCATGATTAAAAGAGTGAACAGCAAAAAAGGAAAAAGAGAAATATGAAATAACAAAAAAAGAGGACACTGACGTTGATTCCATTGTATTTGCGTATTACAGCCCAAATCTTTTCTTGGTTTTCTCTAGACTGAAGGCCAACGACGGCGTTTCGACTGCGACGGCCCTCTTTGTCTTTTCTTTCACCACTAGCCGATCTTGTGGGCTTAAGAAACATTAGTGTAAATAATACTTTGCCAAAAACTCTAGTAAGCTGAAAGCATGATACTTTTGAGATATCATCTGGAAGCGAGATGCAGTTGATTAACACATTAAGAGCTGCTCTGCGGACATTAGGATCGTCTAGGATAACACCTCCAACGATTTCTAGTATTATTCTGAAATTTAATAAGTATATGAAGGGATAAGGACGAAAAGTATAACTGAAATAGATGTAGTGGTTCATCTTAGTGAAATTAGTTAAAGTGGACCTTGCATGTTTTAGGGAGCGTCTGCAAAGATGCTATGCTTTAGCACTAAATACTTAAGAGCCAACCCTTTCACGACCATGCGCGCTGATCTCAATGTGCACGCTGCTGCATGCTTCGAACCGTACATCTTGATTTTAATGCGCGTTCCGACTGCGTTCCAATGACACGGTGTCCAATAGGCCAACCACGAGAAAATGGCCACGGTCGTGAAAGGGTTGAACCCTTCGTATTCCAACAACTACACAGTGCATACGATGAACCAAAACTGCTTCTCTTTGAACATTTCCACGTAGATACATTACTTTTTGACCATATAACACCTTCACAACCCTTTGTAGTTAGTCGATGACTTGTCGAACACAGATTTTATACTGGGATTATTCGATGGATAGGCACTCTCAGATATACTTATAAAAACCCGTTTCGGGCGGTGGAATGGAATATATGGATATATAAAACATAAAACATAAACAGAAGTACACTCCAACTATCACACAAAACCATGCGGAAAGCCAATAACATCATTTTTAGGTAATGGAGAAACTTCTTTTTCCATCAAACAATAGAGGTGTCCAAGAATATGGGACAATAAACAAAAGAACATAGCGGGTATGTTGAGGTTCGAGAACGATGGAAAAGATGTGATGGGACCAAACGACAGAACGAAAATCTCGAGGAATCAGTGCGTAGTGTCTTTTGCGCGGGTTAACGGATCACACGTCTTCACCTCAATTCGCGTTCCAATTGAGCTCCAATGACACGCGGCCCGACGAGCCCGATACAAGCCAATAACATACGGTTGGGAAAGGGTTAAATAGATTCTGTATGGATAAAGATTAACTCACTGCATCCCATCAGCTTGATTACCATTAGGCAGTTGCATAGGCTCGCAAAGCTCATGGTGTATTTTCGGTACACAAGTGCACAACCACAAAGTGTTTAAGGCATAAACTGATGTGTCAAACCTGTAACGGGAAAACACGTAAACACTAAACCGCCATTAAAAACATTGCTGATATAAATAAACAACGCAGACCTTCCAGTGGACCCAAATTCATGGCATAAAATAACCGCTCCAAACAGAGTTTTGATCAGCCCCAGTTTTTTAACGTCGTCTACTGGTTTCCAACCAGAATTTGATGCACGAAGAGCAGTTGTTAACAACCAAACACCTTCTCTCACAGATCGTTCATCCATTATCATAGACTGGAAAAAAGTTTTCTTGAAAACAAAAACATCAATTGCAAACCGACTTTCATTTAACGTTGCCATGAATGATCGAGGCATTTTCCTTCATTGAAAAGCTAACTTGAGGTACTTATCAAACACTTTTTTGGTTAAATGGACAACCGAATGAATATTTAGTAAATGAATTCTAAGTGAATGACTAGATTACTGCACGGATCTCCCTCATATAAAGGATCTCGAGCCGGTTAGTCGCGAGGCTACGTGGCGCGTCCCCAGGTGGCCGATAAGTGGTTAATCGCGGACCAAAAGCAACCTTTGCCTCCATGAGACGCAGGTGGATCCAGGGGATGGACTCTCTGTTTCTGGTGCACAGATTTGGCACGTACTTTCTGTATTTGCTAGGTGTATTCATGCATGCGTGTGTGGGTGCGCTCTTGCCCAATGTGAGGTGGTTAGGAATCGCCTCCAAAAAATAAGCTCCATGTCCACTCTGGGAGAGCCTGGCAAGCTACCCGTGAGGATACCCAGACGTCAGCCTTTCAACGTCGTCTATGACATCGGAGAACTGTTCCTTGGAACATGCGACAGTAGAGGAGTCGGCTGCGTCGGTGTTCTCGTCAACACGAGTTTGTCCATGAACATTCATTCGAACAGATTACAACCCGAATCGGTCGCTCATGATTTTAAAAAAAGTGGATTAATACCGGCTTTGACAATCTTTGTCGTTTACGGGCCGACATCAAACTATGACGAAGAAGAAGTTGAAGCGTTCTATGTGGTCTTGGAGAAGTTCTACAAAGAAGACTTCAAGATCATCATTGGAGATTTTAACGCCAAGATTCGACCAAGAAAGTCTGAAGAACGTCACTGGGACCCATGGATTAGAATGCAATGAACAGGGTGAGCGGCTGTCTGAGTCTACAATCCATGGTAACTCGCAATTCCAGAAGCCCCACCCTCAGCGTTGGATGTGGGAGTCTCCCAATGGAGAGTACCACAACGAAATAGACCACACCATAGTAAATACAAGGTTTTGCCGAACCGATGTCGCTGCTGTCCGAAAATTCTACACGGAATCGGACCATCGAGTCCACGGTGCGAAATTCTATTTCTCGCGAAAGGGAGAAAAAGCCGCTAATTCAAAAACCGGAGTCCCAGAAACACCTAAACTGGGACTTATTTAATTCATTAGTCGGCTGCTGGAAAGATGCCGTTGTCGATAACATCGACGAAGAACACGACCGGCTCATTCAACGTCTTCACCTTAGCGCTATGAAAGCTGAGAGTTCGAAAGTCACCAAGGAACGTTTGTCTCCAGAAACAATCGGGTTGATACGCCAGTGTGGAATCGCACAAGCTGCAGGCAACCGCGACCTAACGTCCCGAGCTTGCAAAACAATGCATACAGCGATAAAAAAGGATGTTAAAGATAGAAAAGCAGCAGTAATGGCCGAAGATGCAGAGGCTGAGAAAAGTATTCGCAAAGTAAAACCACTGCACTCCGGCGCCCAGACGGAGCAGTTGCAGCACCCAGAAAGGCACTGGAGAAAAACATTCACGAATACTACTTCGATCTCCTCGACAGCCACGTCCACCTTCCATCATATGAAATAAAGCAGGATGGATATGTTGTACCACTGGTTCTCCCTTCTGAAGTCCGACATGCCATTTCGTCGGTGAAAAATCGAACAGCACCAGGTCCAGACAGGATAAGACCAGAACACCTGAAAAACCTTCAGCCAGTCCTCGTAAACACACTGGGTCGGCTCTTCACACGTTACCTGTCTGAATGCAAGGTCCATACTCATTGGTAGACCAGCAAGATCTGCTTACTGTCTGTCGTCTACAAACTTTTCACTTGAGTCGTTCTAAACAGGACTGACAGAACACTTGACGAAGGACAGCAGTGTGAGCAAGCAGGGTTTCGAAGAGGATTTAGTACGATGGATCACATCCACACGATAAAAAGGCTCATCGAGGTATCACGAGAGTACAAAAGACCGCTCCCTCTCACTTTCATCGATTTACGGAAGGCCTTCGATTCAATTGAGATAGAAGCTTGTAATAGTTCCCAGGATCGACTTTCTCTTAACCTCGGCATTGGAATATGAATGTGTCGTTTTCTTGTTCAGCAATCGCGAGGTTTTTAAACAGCATACATTTACTTCCATAAAAAACACAGTACAATACAACGCTAGCTGACGTTTCGGCAGTATCGCCTTCTTCAGAGCCGCTTTTTTCGTGACTTCCAATGAGGAAGCTTAGAACATCTGATTATAGTCCCTGATTATAGTATAGTCCTATAGTATCAAGTGCTGCCGGAATTAAGCTTATAAGGACTCAGCTGTTCTAAACTTCCTCATTGGAAGTCACGAAAAAAGCGGCTCTGAAGAAGGCGATACTGCCGAAACGTCAGCTAGCGTTGTATTGTATTGAGATAGGAGTCATGGAAGTCCTTGATAGTCAAGTACTACTACTCAGGACATAAAGAATTTTCGTGAGCTGTATAAAAATTTCACAACCAAGATATCACCATTCTATAACGATATTAACAATGACGTCGAAAGGGAAGTTAGGCAAGGCAATACCATCTTGCCAAAATTATTTACCGCCACCCTCTAGAACGTCATGCGAACGCTGGAATAAGATAATGTAGGAGTGAAAATCGATGGTCGGCAGTTACATCATTTTTGTTTGCTGATGGTATCATCCTTATAACACCAAACATTAGCTAAGAAAAACGCATGCTTACCGAGTTTGATAAAACTTGTAGAAAGATTGGTCTTCGACTAAATCTCACAAAAACGATGTTCATGACGAACGGATTGGCTTCGCATGCCTCGTTAACGCTCAACGGAACGAAGATCTCCGAATGGTCCAATTATGTCTATCTAGGGCGAGAAATCAACATGATGAACGACATAGCTCCAGAACTGAGCGGAAGGAAACAAGCGGCTTAGGGAGCTTTCAAGAGCATCGAAGATGTAGTGAAGAGAACAGGGAGCACCCGACTCCTTGCCCACCTCTTCGACTCAACAGTCCTTCCTGCCCTAACGTATGCGTCAGAAACCTGGTCGCTGCGTAAGCAGGATGAAAGATCGCTCATCGTTATTGAATGCGCTGTCGTAAGGACGATGCTAGGTGCATCCTATTTCACATAAGTAAGATACGGGATCCGAATCTCGGACCTGCACCAACGATCAAAAATCAAAGATGCAGTTCTGTACACCAAACAGTCGAAGGTAAGGTCGGCCAGACACGTAATGCGTATGAATGACAACCGATGGACAAGAGCCGTTAGTGACTGGAATCCTCGGGATGTCAAACGTATTGCAGGAAAGCAATCGATCCGATGGTCAGAGTTCTTCACAAAGAGCCTTGAAGAAAGATATGATGCTCGACGAGTCTCTAGAGCGAGCAGAACCCACTGCGCTACTCTTGCACGCCACAAGGAAAAATGGAAGATTTACTTGCGCCCGTTCGAATCACTCGACGATCAATGGGACTAAAGGTGATACAGGTGACCAGTTTACTTACTTGGATGGTCTCTCTTCGTTGGTTGTGCGAACCCCAGCATAATCTCCATTTTTTTAGAGATTTCCTGGTTTAACCACTGCACTTCCCTGGAATACCGAGGTCAGCCTGGCCAAAATCTGCACCAGGTTTTCACCACCATGGCCAGTGGCCGCCCTTGTCATCAGAGGGAAGTTTGCCAACATGCGACTAATTTGATGTCGGAACGGTGGTAGAACTTGATATTGGTTTACTCCTAATCGGGCTTCTTGGTGGAAAAGCCTGACTCCTCCTCAGCTTGGGAGGCCGTGCTAGTGGGATAAATTGCGCCGCTGTACATCGCAGCCCGACACCCAGGAACACCTCCCAGCCACGATGAAAAGCCGTTGGGAGGGAATGGCTAGTTTAACCGAACAATATCTAGTAACAACTTCGTGATTGCTCATCAATGAAAGAAAATATATCCAATTAATCACTGAAGACGGTACCTTGTATGATCGATGGTTAGCATGCAGTCCAGCAGGATAATTGCATCCGGCGAGAAGTATTTTATTACCAACTGTTCGTCTAATCTGCTCTAACTTGACGAATAGATGGGCCTCGAAATAACTTAAAATGGACAGAAAAACCGATTATTCTCATTAAATAGAGTATCAAAGGTACGAATGATGATGAAACACTAACGCTTTGAAATCAGAAACAGCGTTCCGTACAGCTTCTGCACTAGTTAGGTGTTGTTCTTCCGTTAAGTCAATCTTTTCCTTGTTTGACCCTTGCAGTAAAGTCAGCGTCGATATCTAAATTCCAAAAATTAGAAAAACAGACACTAGAACTCAATTGCTTAATGCTATATGTGTCCGTCTCATTCAGGAAACAGCGCAGAAAATCAATACATACATAATTATACAGCTTTCTAAGGCCATCTCGCTGATCGAAACGCTCTAGAATAGGCCTGTAGTAGAAACCGTGAGCAAAGAACATCGCGGCACTACCCATACCGCTTTCATAACTATGCTCCAAACACCATAGAGCGTATCTAAAAAAAGCCAACGATCTACTGGAGAGAGAATCTTGAAAATGTTGACCTATACAAAGACTATAAATACTCCCGAATGAATGTTTGTTGTTTCCAAACTGCGGGCTTTCTATTAACTCTAAAAATGCATAGAGATCGCTGGTTTGCTCAACTAGAAACAATTGTTTTCACCAACTACGCTTCAATACATTGAGGCACGGAAAAGGGATAGCACACACAATTTTCTAGAGGGAAGTGTTTGATTTCATTTAGTGCACTCACTACAGATAATTGGAGATTGTATTATAGACATAAAACTATCACAAGCTATATCGAGGCATATGAAGAAACAACAGAAAACCTGAAGGCTTTAAGGGTTTTCTCTTAATTTAATGGTGTAAGTAAAGAAATAAGAAGGCGGGTAATACACTGGTAGTGAAGTCGGTAATCACGAGCACGGTGCTGATTCGAACCTGCTCAGAGCTCTTCAATCCTCTGATCCGTCTGGAGTAGGGAAGTTGGTACCGAACATTTCCGTGGAAAAAAAATCGCTCTCTGCAATCCAAGTGGAAACGCTCTAACTCGGCTATCTCTGGACTCCAGGAACAACGGACTCGACCTGTATTCAACGACATTCACGATGGAAGGAAAATCCTTAGGCAGCAACCGAAACCACATGTAAAAGCTGGAAGATCTTCGTGGAAGGTGGATGCCAGGATACAAATCGAACGTGAGTGCTGGGATGCGCACAGTAGGTGTGAAAGAGGGGTCGTGTAAAAAAAGGGAAGAAATAAACTGAAACAAATTAAGGTCTCCTTAGCACTACACAGCTCTTAAATAAGTGAACCGAAATAAAACTACTAATTTACGATGGAACCTAAAGAGTTATGGACGAGCTTCTGAATATGATACACTAGCGGAAAGACTAGGTTGTTGGTTTTCACTCTTTTTAAAATCTAAATAAACGTGTTGTCTTAACAACTGCAAACATACACATTCCAGCAAAAATGAAGCCCACACGTAGATCCTTATATCAATTTCAAACAATGAGCTTAACTTACTCTACAACATCATCAAGAAGCTTCTCGTTCAGCTGGCACACTTTCTCCATTATTTCTTCATTATAAGAGAGATAATAGAGAGCAGTAACTGCAGCTGGTGAAGCCATTGAGGCTCGAGGCACTTTTACAAGAGCAGATACACCATCACGAGCAATAAACTCCAGGGCAAATTTCCGATGAACAAGCAATGAGGTAAGATACTGAAAATTTCACTTGTAACGTTTTCGTTCCAGCAATAAGTTGAACAAATTTTACAAAAAACAGACAGAAAAAATTAAAACTTGTAAGGTTTCAAAACAAAACTTGGGCAATACGAGAAAAACCTCAAAGGTACCCGTAAAGCATCAAAAGTTAGTCGTACGTCACGCATCCTCTCCAAATCAATGTATTCAAAGATGAGTTCCATAGCATGACCCTCGATAGCAAAATTTAATAGCTGAAATAAAACAACGTAAGGTGGCCTCATCACATATGTAAAACTATGACGCTATAAAATTAAAATCGAAGAAATCAGATAAAAGAACAAAGGATAAAGCTCTCCGCGTTTTTCACTCCCTGAGGGATGCTCCATACATCCGACTTCATTAAACATCGTTGGGCGTGATTGAAAGCATATCTGGACTTTACAATGATTCGCGGTGGCCTATTGCTGCATCGAACTAGTACTGCTATCCTACCTGACAAGTCTGGTACCAATTTGCCCGAACCCAGAGGGATAGAAGACTTGGTGAGCATCGGATGTGGGGATCGATAGAATTGAGAAATTTAGATATAAAGGAATAACAAAAAACGACAAATGACGTACATCTTGGTATTCGCCAGTTGGATTCAGATATTGTAAAATAAACCGTTGATGCATTGGCACTGATAACGGATGTACCTAAAGTTCAACATGAAGATTGCTAAAGTTCAAACGACATTGAAGTTAGTAGAAATTACATATAAGGATCTAAAGTAACAGAAGTCACCTAAAACTCATACGTATATGCTTAGAGAAAACACACTTTGTGCGTTCCGATAACATAAGGCTGAACCATATTCCATGTGCTATTGCTACTTTCCAGATTATGCAGCGCCGAATACGAAGGGACGGTAGTGAATTCGGTAGAAGCTTTCTTTTCACTCTAAAAGCTAGCTATATGTAAGCACAAATGTAAAATACAATGTATGCAAGAGCGTACAAAACATATAAAGCTCAGGACAGGACAACAGGATAAAAGGACAAAGATTTCGGCGTTGATCAATCCCTGAGGGATCCACCATGCATTTGACTTCACTAAGCATCACGGGAGATGAGTGGATGCATACTTTGCCTTTATAATGACTCGCCGTAGCCTACCGATCTATCGAGCCAGTGCTGCTGTACTCCCAGACAAGTCAGGAACCCGGAGAGATGAAGATTTGGTGAGCCACTGACTCAGGGATCAAACCTATGTGTTCTGTACGGCCTCTCCGACCACTGCGTTACAACTGCCCTTGGTACGAATATGTAGGTTTACAACTCGAAGGAATGATTCAAGTAGGACAAATATACTGAGCAAATAGGATTTTTTTTCTGGAAGCTTCGGCGCATCAATGTGCGCAATGGAACGAAAAGCAACCTAGAGTTCTAATGGTTAAATGAATCCATATGAATTCGACAGTGAGTAGCAATATGGAAAAATGTTAAGCCGGACCTTTAACACCTTCTTCCTCTTCTTCGGAGGAGGTGAATCATGCGTAGAATTTCCCTTAGAAGTTGGCTGAACTCGTAGTGAAACCGCTAAAAGCAAATGAAAACGTAAGGTATAGAATAAGGACAAAGAATCTGAGACAACAGAAGTAACTTGAAGATGTCAAATGTCACACCTCTAACTCTGACTAGCGGAGGTAAAGCAGTATCATTGGTCTTTTTTACTGTATCATTAAGTTGAACACTTTCCCTGCTGGAATTTCCCAGATTTCCATCCTGAAAGATAACTGAAGGTAATATAGAAACGGAGATATTGTTAGATTTCAGAATGATACACACAGCGCTATTCTCCTCGATGTCAAAACCGTTGAAATTGGAAAATGGGCCAGGTGAATCGCCATCACGCTTAGCCATAGCTTTTGTGTTCTCCTGTTCTTTTTCATGTACAACTCGTTCTTCCAGCATACGAGCCTAGAATCCCATATGACATTTTGCACTTACAATGTTGAACAGAACAATGACAGTATCCTTCACAAACATAAGTAAAGTAAAAAAACCTTTAAATCAGCAAGTCTTCTCAGAGCCACAGGCATCAGATCGATATTGTTCGCCCGATACTTATGGGCGTTACCCTGTACTTCTAAGGCAGACGCAAGCAGTCCGATTGAATAAGCACGCAGCACTTCATTTGGACTATCTTTAGCCCATATATAGAGTTGAGGAATAAAGTCACTGGGCTCCTGGAAAAGTACAGATTAGAGCAACTTTCCTCATATCCAAACGTATAGTGCTAACGTTTTAGTTGTTATCTAGTATAATTTTTTTATGGCAAGGTACTTGGCAACTGGTATCAACTAGACCCAATGCCGATTTGTGCTCCCCAAATCACTCCCATTGACGGGTGATGGCTGTTGGCAGCGTTAGGGTAAAAAAAACTGGAGGACGAAGCAAAGGCCACAGTGGTCCAGTGGGGAGCACGTGAGTCAAATTTTGGCGAGTATAAATTTAACGAAATAAAGGACCTCTAGAATGCCAATAAAGACAACAGGTAACAGGTAACATAACAGATTGTCCAGTCATGATGAAACCGCAGAAACAAAAACAAAAGGCAAACTGGCTGAGAGAAAGGGACTACAAACGCCACGGTGGTGCAGTGGGGAACATGTGAGCCTTCAGAAAGGGTAGTCGTGGTTCTATCAGATCTCGGATCCGGGTTTTGGAAATACTTCAGCATTATTGTGGTCATACATACAGTTATAATTCTTATCATCCATGAAAAACACCACAATATATGATATTACAATGACTTTTCCATCAATAATAGTACTAACATTACCGACAAGTGCACCAATCATCGGGAAGAGTAACTAGACTTAACGAGAGGCCATTCAAATCCAATAAACTGTTCTTTCGACGAATGGCAAATTCCTAGCGAGAATTTGCTTTGACAGCTTTGACATAATGAAGAACTTATGGGCATCACAAGGGCACCAGTCCGTTTTCCTTTCCTCACAGACAAAAAGAAAGCAGTCCAGAAAAGTTGCACCGTATCAATCAAGATAACTCACTGAGAAGACCTCAGCAGCATCCAAACCAGGTACACAATCCAGTAGCACTCGAGCAGCAACAACACTCAGTTCCGGTTGATCACGACCCAGCAAATAGGATATCACGAGCTTAAAATGCCACATAACCATGTTAAAAAGGAAAAGTAAAAGAAGAAAATAAAACGAACCTTGTTCATAAAATCATCGTTGCGGAACAGGATCTTTAAAAGGTTCCCGAACTCAGCTTGTGGATGAGTCCGAGCCGGATGTCTGTCATCGAGCGGATCCGGATCGAGTTTAAGGAAATCATCGACAGCCTGCTCGATGATTTCCGCTATGCTGAAGTGGTGTTTAGAAAACGAAATCAAACAAGTGGCCGATAGAACTTTAGCCACAAACCTAGTAAGTGTTGGTATTGGATCAAATCCTTCGGCTCTATGAGAAGCATCCCATGTTTTCAAGATAGCCGTCAAATTTTCGATTGATGGAGTGTTAACAGCTTGATGAAAAGGCGGTTCAAGTGCTACGGAAGTACGTGGACCATACTGGTAATCATTTATACGAAACATTCCACTACTCATCTGGAAAAAACAGCTGAAAATCAGGATTTGACGAGGAAAAACGCTCGCTAAGCCAACAGATGACAAGAAAAAAACACACCCTGTAGGAAATAAGGTATGGACAGAAATGTAGCACTACTTATCCATACAAATGATGTCAGATGAATCCATAAAAGCGATAAAGCTCGGCTCAATTTCGTAAAGTGAACAAAATAACCAGAGATGTTGATAAAATATTATCCGTAATCTCACAACTCGCGTTTAAAATTCCGTCATAAGGGCATTTTACGGTAGACGTGTGAATTATTACCTAAAAATTACAATACTGATGTAACTTTTTATTGAGATATAGAAGTTATCTCTTTCCACCGTAAGTTTAGTTTAGATTCTAATGCTATTTCTTCCTTATTCGATGTAATGTCCTTTGTTGATTAGTGGTTTTCTTTTTCTCTTCATTTATTAGTTGTTTTCTAGCGTTCTTTATTGATTAATTTCTTTGTAGTTTTCTCTAGGAATCAGCTGTTTCTTCTAGAAATCAGTTGTTTTGTGGTGTCCCCTATTGACTAGTTGTATTGTTTTGGTCTTTATTGATTATTTCTTTTCTGTCTTATATTCCCAGTCCTAAGTGATAACTTCTGTTCATCGGTTTTTGTTCTATTTAAAATATGTAGTTTAGAAAAATGGCCGTGTTTCATGACGAAGTAGAGATTGAAGACTTCACTTACGACGAAATGAACGAACTCTACCACTATCCGTGTCCTTGTGGAGATCGTTTCGAAATCACAAAGTGGGTTCTCATTGTTGTTCAACTTCTGTCCATTGCACTTCAGCCATCTGTTTCAAGGGAAATGCTCGAAATGGGTGAGGATGTGGCAACATGTCCGAGTTGTTCGTTAATGGTTCGGGTCATCTACGATCCAGATTTGTTCATCAAATTGGAGACACTCACAATATCGACGCCGGCGCTAACCCTTACCGATCCTGCATGACTCACTGGCGGGAAGATCTTGTGTTTTTTAGACTATTCCCGGTTTAATGCCAGTATCAAAAGAATCCTGTGGATCATGAGCGATATTCCTGTTCTAGTTCTCGTTGTGTTTGAAAGTTTTCGAAATTTTCCATCGTCGAAAACGAGTTATATAGAATTTATTCTAAGTCCTACATTAAGGGTAGAGTTTCTTCATTAAACTGTTTCACGATGGCGGAGCGCTAGGCCTGGGTTTATTTCTCATTGGGAAGTCTGTGTGCCGTTACATATTTCCCATACATGTAGTTATTCTGAGTTGATGGTTCGATAGAAAACTTTTAGTTACTTTATAAGAATTGTATTGGTGTACATCAGGGTCGCTTGCTATGCAGTTCCATAGTGTTTCATTGCAGGTTGCTTTTTGCAGGTCTGTCTCAGCTAAGCGGTGAACTTAACCTATGTATTTCTTCAGCTCTTTCATGTCACTTTTCCCTTATTGTTATTTTTAACTGATTGTTAGCATTGAACTCGAATGAGACCTGATAAGCGTATAAGTTTTACCTGAACGAGGTCACAGGAGTACAGATTCAGTTTTCCCAGTCTGAGGGATGACGTGGTGGTAAAAGTTTCGGTGAGGTGAATTTGCTTTAATTAGTCACTAGAAGATGGAGTTCACGCTCAATGTGTCGGGTTCGCTTTGAACTCATGACTTATTTTGATGTAATTTGCTCCGTTATTGTTACTTCTATTGTAATCATGTGAATACTGCTTGACTCGTCAAAAATGACGACTTCTCGTCCGATAAACAGCATCTCATCCTTTCATATTTTTTGTCATTCTTTTAAAAATACATAGCTTTATACTATGTTTTGGTATTTGTGTAAAATGGTTTCCGTTGATACGCTGATGTGTAGAGCACGTCACTTCCATAGTATTAGTATGGAAGAAGAATAAATGTTTGAACCTCTATTATAGTCAAATCGTAGTTTTCTTTCTGAAATCGAATGAACATCGCAAATAATAACATTTATCTAAGGGCTAAATGGGCAGTGTCAGTGTCCATATTTTATGGATGTGTACACTATAGTTATCGTCAATTATCAATATTAGTGCTAATTTTCAGGGGCAGAGTATAGCCTAAACATTAGTTAAGGTAAAAAAAAAACTTGTGTCAGCTTATCAGTATACTAAGGCAACACTACTGAAATTAGAAGTTCTCCGCAATATACACATGGTCGTTGGTTGGTTAGGGTACTATTGGCTGACCAGGCTTCCATTCCGCCGTGGTTGGCATATTGGCACTAGACTTATCACGGATGATCACATTACTGACTTGATGCGTCGTCAGCCCACCTCATGTCATCGGGAAGGCCAGATATGTATTCAGTCACTTCTATTAAGCTTGACGGAGTCAAATACCTGGCGCATCCCACAGGTATTGATCGACGCCGGGAACAGTGTCCTTTGTCCTTTGCCGATAAGGTTATTGTTTCTGATGGATACGTTAAGATTGTGTCCTTTAGGATCTTATTGAATAATGTGTTCAAAGCGAGGATCTAGTCCCTAGGTTTAAATATATGTGATTGTTGTCTTTTAGTCGTTTACAAAATAAGCCGTAGAAACTGAACATCCAGTTATTTTTCACTGCAGTGTACAGATCCCAACGTTTTGGGATATCTTGGCCTAGTCGTGCTCATGTTATATTTCTTGGACTGAAGAAGATTCTAAATCATACGGAGAAATGTAGATCTGGATCGGATTTTATTCTTAAGTTTGTTAAAGTGCAAATATGGTGAGCACGTTACCTAGCGAAAGTCATTGAGAAATCGATATAATATGCTTCGTAAACGAGTTCACGAATAATCTATGAGCTTCGGATAGACGACGCTTTGTATGGAGCTAAGTGGGGAGCCAAATTGTCTTTCTTGCTATGATCATTTCAGGGTATTTGCTTAGCTATCTATCATATTCTACCCGAACGGCGAAGTAGGGCAAGATGCTAGGGTAGCAATATTGCTTAAAATAAAAGGCTACGTTAAGAAGTGGAATTCCTGTGAGCTGGGTACGGGAAGCACACCGAACAGTTCTGTAACGTGATAAGAACAAGTCTTTACTAGTTTACTACTAAGCCATTTGATGACTAATGGAGGTGGTAGAGGTGGTACAGATGATTCTCTACTTGAAGTAATTAATTGAGCACTTGGTTTTTTTCACGAATAATAGCGCCAGTAGAGCAGATCTTCACTTTAAAATGTTGCCAGTTTAGAAAATAATCTTCCCAAAAGCACGTACCCAGTGGTCCCTTGGCTGTCACTACATTGTCATCGTCGTCCCTTTTCGATTTAAGAGGAGTTTCTTTCCTTGCCACTAGGTTCATCCAAGACCGTGATCACTTCCAAAGTTGGTACACTTTTAGTTGGACTTCCGAGTGCGAGTGTTGAAACCATTCTTCATTGAGAGCGTGGTTGGCGGTTATTACTGATTACGGTTCCACGTAAGGAAGCATCATTCTTTCCATATCACGAAGAGGTTCAGTAAATCATTAGTTCTTCAAAAGAAATTAGAAGGAGGTATTTGAAGATTTCATTCTGAAAAGTTTTAGAAGGCAAGTAGGCTTTAAAAGGCTTAACTGTTAGCTATGAGAAGGTTTCCTCATGTCGTTGAATTGTTGTAGTTTGTTTCTTGATCGAGATTTTATTTATCCCACCCGTCTATGCATATTCTGCGGTTTCTGGCCCTTCCTTCATCCAGTTCACTGTCTGAATCCGTTATCGACAAAGGCGTTTGGTTTCTGTTGAAGACGTTCCCTTCTTCGTTGAATGAGCGATAGTTCTTATTAGATCGGTCCGCATGCTTTAGCCATTGACACTTGCCAAATTATTGCGTCAAGGTATTACCAGCCAATTCCAGTAACAATGCTTCGACTCCGGTGGAATAGAAGGGCATAATTCACTCGGTGTGTGTTCGAACCGGTGGTTAGGTACGTCTATTACTCAGTATCTCTAACCACTGCGCTTCCTCTATACGGTCAACAGCAAATACGTGTAAAAGCCGCTGAACCAATTGAATATCGAAGCTTTTTAGTACGGAGAAAAGAACTTTACTGGTTACGATGTTGCTTTCATTTACAGGATTAAGTCTCATTCATACGAAAATCCAATTCCTTGAAGGACATTACGCTCCTATTGCTCATCAATGAAAGGTTCTATAGAAATATTTTGTTCGGGAATTGGATGAGGAGTCCCTTTTAGCCAGTCCGGCTTTCATATGAGAGAAGGCTTTTTATTTCTTAGAATACGCCAACTTTTCATTCCTCCGATTTGATTTTTATTCGGCGTTCTGAGAATCGCTTCGGAGAATTCTTTTCTCTTCGTCGAATTCATGAGTGAAAGGAGGTTCTTAAGCGTAGAAATCTTAAGCTGTCTTGTAGCGACTGGAAGCTGAGAGAACCGTAAAGAACTATGAATGTTGTAACATTTATATGTTGTGATTTTTTATGTTTTTCTGAACTCTACGGTATTAAAACGTTGTTCCTCTTCATCGTCTCCATTCCAGACTCGGAAGATCAGATCACAGCAAATAATAGTAAGAGAGCAACAAGAAACGATTTCGTCCAGTCAGCCTAATATCATTGCAGTTAGGAACATGAAAGGAATAGGCTATTGTAAAGTCTTTTTTTATTAAGACATAACCAACTTCGGACATTTCCTTCCTTCTCTCATGGGAATGACATTCTGTTCACATTTCTTTTTATGTATGCAACTAGTTGGGCGAACACGTGGCCCCCACGGGACAGCCGTTTTTTCTTTTCCTTTCTCAGCTATGACAACTTCTGAAATGAACTCAATCAACGAAGGCCAACATGAAGTGCACCGATTTTCACCAGAGACACTTTCATACTGATAGTTTTGAAGTTTTACTGTGCTGGTTAATAGTTGCTATTTCGTAGACACTTGAATGGTCCACTTTCATGAAGAGTCCATGCGAGCCCGTACATATCCTACGTTTCGCCTACGTATTGTTATTTTGGCAATATTTCTCGGCTCTCTGAGAAGTCCGTGCCAGAAGGATCCCTGATCGTCACCACAGACACTCTTGCCTACTTGTTCGGTTCTGTCTATCAGGACCGCGACAATTCTTCCTGGAATTGATGCACTCTTAACTACGCTTCTAACCTTGAATTTATTGACTTTCGACTATCCTGGCGAAAGAACAGATCTCACTGGCATTTCATCGTAGTTCGGCATTCACTAATGGTCGGAATTTCGGGTAGAGTAGCGTGAACCGTTGGTAGAAGTGAAAGCTAGTGAATAGAGTCAAGCCGATTTGGTTTTGATGGAGGTTTTACTCAGGACACATTCATAACGACGAGAAAGGATGGAAAAACTGCAAACATGCAATACTTTGACAATGAAAAATGCATGAGCAACTAGCTGGACATGTGTTCCCAGGAGTCGAAGTAAAACGTATGCAACGAATAAGACATGTGATTGTCACGTGACTTTAATTATATAATGATACTCGCTCTAATAGTTGTTTAGTATCCCATTCCTAATCACACTGGAAAAATTGCTTAGTTCATACCCTGCCATGAAAAAAAAATAAGCCGTAAGTAAAAAAGTGCTAGGCTGTTTAATGTTTTCTATGTGCTAAGTTCAATCCCATGGATCAGCGAGCACGTTCTGAACTGTAGTGGGCCATATCCCTCTGTGCACCAGGTCATGGTGATGGTTTAATTTAAACCCTTTTTCTTACTAGTCAGTACAACTATAATAAATCATACTGCATTGTTCTAAGCACATTATATTTATGTGGTCGGGGTATCCTCTCTGGCATTGTTGCTCTTTGTTTATTTATGAATAATGAGCTCTACTCGGCGTGAAGATGTAGTTTAACACAGTTGATAAATTGCCCTTTGATTAAGCCTTGTTTTGAACGCCAAACTAAGAGTCTCTTCCTCCTCATTAGCACTGACAAAGTTTCTTGAGCACGACCGTGAGTTGAGGTATGAGTTTATCTGCT